TTATATTAGTTTATATTATCTGAATCACCTTCTATTGTATCTAGTAGGTACCTAACCGGCTAACCTTACCTATTAATTCTAATCTTTATTACTACGTTGAAATGAAATAAAATGATAAATATTATCTTATTTTAAATTACTACTTTAACGAAAATATACAATTATTATTTTTACAATTTTTAGTTAATAAACAATATTCACAGCTAAAATGTTTCTACTTTTAAAAATTTCGGGGGGGTCCGGACCCCTGGGCCCCTCTCCCAATTATGGCCTTGCGTCTAAGTAACACTAAGTTTCATGCTACTGCACTGTCTTTTAAACTTATATTTACCTAAGCACCACCAAGTTTATTGAATCGTGTTCGTATTCCTTACAGAATTGTATGGAACAATTGTAGACCATTTTATTTAAATGAAAAAATACAAACTTTGAATTTAGATCATTTATTCGAATTTCTAATACTGAAAATCAAAACATGAAATTCGACAAATTCAGCAGGACTCGTGTATCAACTATCAGTAATTTAGTATTGTCAGAAATTAGTATTATTAACTTTGTTATATATTCCATGACTAGATATCACTAGGAAAAAAACGCTTTACATCAGTGTCATGGAACAAAAATATCATATCCGTTCGACTTTCGAAGAAACAACAAATTACATTATCATTGGTCACCGAATTTAAATGTATTTAAATTTTTATATTATTTTGTTCAATATTACATTATTTAGTACATATTACATTACTCATTGATTACATTAATTTATTATTATATGGACAAAGATTTAATTTTATAATTAGTAATTGTTTGTCAGAACATTTTGTCTGTGTTTTCTTTTTATTATATTTTATGTTTATTAGTATTCTGTTATTTTTTTTATTGGCTTAGGTATATGCGACTGAAAATTGTTTTGATTCGTTGTGTTTAATCATATTATGTAAAATTATAAATAGAACCAAAATAAATGTATTTATATAATGTGACATATATTTTATGAATAACACATTTTTAAAAATGTATTCTTTAATGGCTTTAGTCTAGTATTATTATATACTTAAAAGATTTTTCTTGAGTAGGTATTCTCTTACATCTGAGAGTTGTGACAAGCTCGAAGTTATTAACATATTATTCATTTTAATTCTATTGAAGTGAAAAATATTTTCGGAGAGTACAACAGTGAAAAATGTGTAATGAATACAAGTTATGTTCACGACACGAAGTTTCTATGACAACGAAAAATAAATAAAATACGAATCATATAAATCCGATTTTATTATTATTTTTATCTATTTAAGTAGGTACTCAATTTAGGTAATCATTTAGACGGAGTGTCGTTTTAATTTATACTGTAAGTTGATTAAATTTATAATAGTTATGTAATAATCATTATATGTACCTATGTAATAATAATTATAAATATTGAAACAATTACAGGTCACAATAATACCTATAATATGTAGGTATTTTTATATTTTTTATACACTTACTGGAGCAACATGTCAACATCAAATAGTTACAATAGTAATTTGATTTTATCTTAAAACTTTTTAAAAAATAATGTTTACAATATTAATCTATGATTAATTATATTTGATAAAATGATATTTTTTAAAGTTTTGCATATTATAATGAAGCACACCAGAACAAACACATTTACATTTTTAAACACAACCAAAACATAAGTTGTGAGTCCTAAGTCTGAATTGATAAATTTATCAAATATTTTGTAAGAATATTAATATGTCTAAATTATGCACGTACTTTTGCACGTTTCTGCTATTTTTCGGATAGGAACTTATGCAAACAACTTACAGTAAATGCCAAATGGGCCAAACACCAACGAATATAATATCCTATAACATATTTGGTCTTATTTTTCTGAGTTTCCACCTTTTTAAGTAGATAATAATATAATATAAATGTTAAATAAAACTCCATAATACACACAAAAATGAAGTTACAAACTGATCACTTAGTGGCGAATTTATATTTCCAAAATTAAATTATCCTGTAGGTAATGCAGTTTCGCACCATCCGTATTTATTACACCATAATGATATACTTAATATTAAGTACTTAACTTTTAAATAATTAAAATATGTATGATATACTTAGTTTTTGATTTATGTTTAAATTTGTTTAGAAATTTGAGGCTATTTAAAATAAACTTAATACAATTTTGAAAGGGAGAAAAAAATGTAATTGAACTAAAATCCTATATGTTGAGAGAGAAAAAAACTTAACTAGAAATTAGAATACTGATAATAATATTTACGATTCTTAGTGCATATTTGATTTGATTTTTTTATGCATACCTAATATTTTATAATACAATTTTTAATATACTTGTAAAATCTGTATGAATATCATAAATTAAATATAAAGATATTGGTTTAAGGTTTATTCTTGTCACCATATCACATAAATTCTTGACTGACAGTATGAATAATGTCTTAACTCATATAAGTACATAATATAAGTCATAGTAAAGTTTCTCCACAGGCAGGTAGTTTCAGTTATTTTATACTTTAATCATCTCGTATTCATCAATTACGTTTATTATTCATTTTCACGTAACAGATCGTTTGAATAAAAAATTATATAAAAAAAATAAAATCTAGATATGACTTATAGGTGCCTATTTTGAATAACTCGTATTTGTCGACAGTATACAAAATATATGACGTTAATGATGTAAATTAATGGTATATTTTTTCAATTTAAATTTTTTGAACCATAACACAAAGCATTATGATTAATGCTGAATGTATTATGACCAAAAATTAAAAAGCGGGGAGTGGATGTTGCTCTGCTGTACAGAAGGTTACAAGTGGGTCACTGTCATGGATGGTGTTAAATTTGTATTCAATGATATAATATATATATATATAACTGCACCTATACGAAAAACGATTCTGAGCAAAAAGACGGTCTGCCAGTCTATAATATTACTTAGTAATTTAGTATATATGATGATATTATTGTGATTAAAGTAATTTATTATACTAGAAAACATTAATACAACTCGGTAGATTTAATTCATTTTTGCCAAAAAAAAATACACTTGAAAAGTGTATAAAATATGATAATATACTTTAAAAGTTTCAAGTAGGTACCCAAAAATAATATTTTTAATTTACAACAAAATAACAGCTATAAAAATTTAAAATTTAAAAAAATGTTAACTAAAAAATTATTTGTACATTTTAAATGATATAATTTTGTCAAATTTAAAAAAAATCGTCCCTATGTATTTTAATATTTTTCAACTAATATTGTAAATATATATCAAGAGTCTTGTATAAATTGTCAAGCTTTTGGAGCCAACAAATTAAATAACCAAAAATTAAAAATGTCCATAAACAGCTTCGGTCAAAATATTTTGAAAATGTATGGTGTATAGAAAACGCTAACACAAACATTCAGTAAAAATTTCATGTATCTATATTATTATTTTTAAAGTTACACTAAAAAACAAAATTGATTTTTTTTAAACTAGTTTTACATAAAAAAATCCCGCTTTTCCTTAATTTTTTGTTTATTTTTCCTGTCACTTTTGAAAAAATTTTAATTTTGACCTCCTGAGTGCACCAGGAAAGTTGCTGTTGAAGAAAATCGAAGCTCTTTTACTGCCTAAAACGTGATGATAAACACAAAGATAAAAAAAAAATAAAAATCCAGATCATTGTAAAATCAATATAATCATCACTCAACTTAGAATCTAAAATATAAATATTATTGTTAAGATTAATTATTTGTGCCACAAAAAGTTAACATCATAAAAAAAATAAAATATAATAATGTGATATGTTTATGCAAATGGCATCCTATCATGTTATACCCGAAGCCTACATAACGTAGTATTGGCACTTGGTTTAATTTTAGTACCACCTGCTTAATCATAGGTGAATCAAAAAGATAACAATTTTGAAATCAAAAACTTTATTATAGTATCATTAAATACAAATTTATAATTCATGCTTACATCTAACGGTGTACTTACTACTTATTACTTACGATAGTTAGGTACCTACTAGAAAATCGCAAATTGATCATAATATTATGTACATACAGGTACACAACATTACAACGTATTATAAAATAATCACACAACTGTCATATAAATTAAACCATAAAGATAAAGGTAATGAACTAAAATAAAAAAAGTAATACAAAAAAGGCTCTCCGTAATTATATATTTTGCAAATATTTAGAAACATTGTTTAAACATAAGCTATTACATAAAACATTAATATTAATATTTTAATTTAACATACAGTTAATTAGTTATTTAATAAAAACGAATCGAGTATCTGTTAAAAAATACCACCCTTTAATCCACAATTTTGGAGCTCAAATTTACACAGACCATATTGACGTAACATTGTAAATTATATTATTAATAATAATATCATATTAAAGTTGCACCATTTAAATGAATTCAAACATAAACTAGGAACATGTAAATATAATTAAACAGTTGTACTAAGCAATATTTATTTTAGGATTGGATGAGCATAATATGACTTGCTGCATGTGATGTATTAAAACGGTTAGAAGATAGTGACCACGAATTCTCGCTTCCTAGCTGATAGTTTGAGTTATTTTATTCAGTATTATAAATACAAGTATCCGTGGATTTAATACCATTTTAAACATATTGTTGACAATAAAATAACGAATAGGACAATAGTCTATATTAACTACATAATAAGTATGTGGAGTCGTTGCCATTTTTTGGGATTTTTGGTCTTTTGGAAATTATGAAAATAATGATTTCCTACCCTTTATTTTAATGTATGGATTTAACTCCATAATTCAATAAATATCAATTCATAAATTACTACTAATGTCTAATTATGTCAAAATTAAGCTATTATAAATTCTAAAAAATAATCATTTTTTAAGAGAAAAAAATCAATTGATAAAAATAATTTTTCTTTAATATATAAATATGAAATATTATATTTAAATTATATTTAAATTATATATAATTTTTAAATTGTAAATCAATTAAGAAACAAAACTTAAGGTCGAAATGCTACATACATTATGACAGCAAAAGAAAAGCTGTAAGTGTTTACGAAGTGTCATTTATACCATTTTTTTTTTCTAATATAGGTACCAAAGTATTCAATTGCCAACGTTTAATCACTAATTCTCCTACGGGACGATGATGAATGGGAAAAATATGTCCAGTATGTTCCAATTTTCCGTTATTTTGTTCATGAGATTTTGATCCGCCAATCACTCTTACATGACATTTATCGTCCAATAAGTTGGTTAACTTAAATGGTAATATTAATGGATATATATGTTCAATGGCAAGTTGGACTATTGCTTCACTCGGAGCTGTAGACAAAATACAATTCAACGATTAAATTGTATGATTTATTTTACTATTCTAATATCTCAGAGAATTTCCTTACCATTTACAGTAATGCTACCAGTCGAATATATTTTTAATGTAGCTTTGAGTTCTTTAATTCTGTACGTCACGCCGGGATGTAACTCAGGTTCATACCTTTTAATAAAATACTATAATTTGAAAAAAATGTAAAGCAATTTTTAGCAAAGAAATAGGTAATAACTACTATTGTTTCAAAAACCCTATGTGGTTAGGTTGTGTTAGGAAATGGGTTTTCCCCTAAAAAATTATGTATGCATATAGTAAGGTGAGTGTGTATACGTCGGTATTGAATTATGAGTTGTATTCTATACTTTTGCAGGGAAAAATAGTTCAATCCATCGTATTCAAATAATTATAACGTATTTAGCAAAATGTATATACCTATATATCGAACATAGACTATCCTTAGAAACAGAACCGGACCCAATCGCCAATCACTCGGAATCGTTTTTTTCGTGTAGAATGATTTATTATTAAATTCAAATTTAACATCCATTACTGCAGACTTACTCAATGACGAGATGGATACTCTCGAAACCTACTTTATCTACAGCAAAAGCAAGTCTTTTTGATTTTTATGATTCGAATTTATAAGTGTACTTAATGGATAATACTCCTTCTAAGAACAATTGAACATTTTTCGTCGTATATTCTAGTACCCATGGTAAAGAGGCGGCTAGAAGTTAGTTGTCTACAGTATATTAGAGTCTTTAGAAAAAATGAGGCCAGATTTAAATGTATTTTCATTGATTTATTTTGAATTTTATGTTATGGTAAAAATAATATCATGAAACATATTGATTGTTAGCATCAACTACGTTATTTGGCTATTATCATTTATTATAGATACGATTGTTTACTAAAATAGTATCTATTTATTTATGGAAAATCTTGAAAATGCTACAATGTTGTTTGAATGTTTCAAAAGGGGACATTTATTTACCCATGGAATCTGAAACGCATCTGAATCACAGTCTAATAGTAATAGACACTAATAGGTAGTCAATGATTGTTTTTATGCGCTTGACAACAAAAGTGCACCATAAAACGGTGCATCGTCCTATAAAAAACACTCTTTGAACGATAAATAAATATATATAAATTAAATCGTTATTAATTAGATGAAAATGTGCATAAAATAATAATGATTGAAGTATAATCAGAATACTGTTCAAGTACCTACCTATAAAATGTTTAATACATTCACTGATGAAAGTTAAGTGTTAACCTATATTGCAATTGTGAATTGATAGCTTATAAAATAATTATCAAGGAATTAAACTTAAAGTTAAGCTGTTGTAAATGGTTTTTTCATTAATTTCTTACACCCCGATTATTTTCTTCGTCTCAAGCCCGTATTTAGTATAGCCTGGCAAAGTCTAATGAAAATAATTAACTCAAGTTAAGTTCAGAGAACACAGTATCGATAAGTAATCAGTTAATCAGTTAAAAGTTAACATTTAACAAGTCATACATTTAACTCGACAAGTTAAAAGTTAATGCGGAAAAAAATAGAAAAATAATAACTTGGCTTGAAAAAGTTAGTCTACTTTTTTTAATTACCTAGTACCTATGTGTATCACACAATGAGTCACTGCGTTCTTACTAATTTCCTAAATTATAATAAATAATTTTATTGAATTTTTATCATAACGTACAGTGTAGGTACAGTGTATGACTTTATCTATTTTAATTGACATCGTTATAACAAATAAAATTAAATAAAAATAAAATAAATGTAAAAATATATTATATTTATATAAAACAAATATAATTAATGTACACATGACACATTTTAATGAATTATTTAACAAATATTTTTTTTTATCAAATAGCAATTTAAGGTCATATAATAATATGCCTATCTAATCTAAAAAAAATATATCTGTATAATACGACATTATTTTATCAAGAAAAATAGCACAAGTACTTGCATTATTTTTATTTTTGTATTAATATTTATAAGCAGAAAACCATAAAAAAGGAAAATTTCAAATTCGAATGAAGCTCGATTTATTATATTTAAATAAGCTGCAAAAATCTAAGATAACACTGTCAATTAAACTCCTCAAGTTCATAAGTTGATTAAAAAATTAAATAACTAGTTAAGTTAAAAATTTAAAAAAAAATTAACTTTTAAACTTAACTTTAACTTTTAAACTAGTTGATAGCAGCCCACCTTTGAATATAAGTACATACATACACCGATTTCTTTAATTAACGTTAATTATTATTAAACATATAATGTCATATTAAAATAATGAAAACGATTTTATTTTATTTTTTAAATTTTAGAACATTGTAATAGATATTTATTATAACCTACCATTTATATCACCATTCACTAATATCGTTCTTGTACAATTTTGCAATGTAAGTAGTATGTAAAATAGTATTACAGTAACATAATTAGTACCTATTCCAAAATACATGAGTAAATCGATTGAAATATCCGAATACTAATTTCTTAAAAAAAAATTAATAAAATTGAAATCTAAATATTTTTAAGTTATAAATTACAACGATTTACATAACATCTAGTAAAATTAATTATAGTTTAAGTACTTACTGAGAATTTAATTTATATTTTTCGGAAAACTGTATAACTCTGATCGAAAACGGTAAACTACATGAGCCGAGAACATTGATAATTTTGAAACTACTAAATTTTGCATCACTATATCCCAGTTTTTGAATAATTCTAGCAATACGTTTTGAAGCTATTTTTGAATCATATTCAGATGTTGAACCTATGCAAACTATTTTACCACTTGACCATATATTTGCTGTAGCACTTGGCTTACGTAACTTCATTATAAGTTTCTAAAATAATAATAAAAAAAAACATAATGTAAACGTATTTAAATTTAAGAGTACCTAATTAAGTAAAAGAATTTTCTTTTGATATTTTTTTTAGATATGAAATATTAAAATATAATACAATGTTCTAATATAAAACAAAATTGCCTACCCCTTTAATCTGATCTTGTACAGTGGGGTAGGGAGTTACAATAATATACTTTAATAAATAAATTATGTATAATATTATATTACCGCTTTTTCACGTCTATACTCCACATTATGACCATTCAGTGCTAAATATCGGAGATTTAAATGCGATTTCAAATTGAAACTAGCAGCTACGTTACTAATATTAATTAATATTTCATCGTCAACATTTGAGCAGTCTTGTACAGGTTTTCTAGATGCTGTTAGTATTTTTTCTTGTCCACGAAGATCATTATTGTAATAAATCATGTTTGCATTTAACGTAGATCCATTTAAATTAATTTTATTTTTCAGTTTGATGATAGGTGTCATATTGATCTACAAAAAAAGAAATGTACACATTAATAATTAATTAATATTTAATTATTAGCTCATTGATCTTAAACAATACCTATATACTATTATACCAATATAATGATTTTTCTTGGAAGTGTTAGGTTTTGACTCCAAAAGTTTGAAGTCCTAAATATTGTTTATTTAGCACAACATTTTGTTTTCAATTTTTATCTATTAATCTCTTAAAACGTAACCTTAGAAAAACGAATTTATGCTAGAGTTTTTTTCCAGTCCAGTACTGTAAGGAAAGAAGGAACTCGGGCCATTGTCCACAGTGAAATTTCAGGTTTAATTAAAACGTACGTCATAATTATAATCCCCGGTCACTTCAAAATAAAATTTGCCCATAATGAAAATAATTCCTACTTATGTACGTCGCTAGCCTACACAGTCCACAATATAATTTGAAGTATATTTTTTTTGATTTTCTAACAACACAAACACAACCAAACTAATAAACACAAAAATCAAAATAGTCCTCGAAAGAATTTTACACTTGAAAATTGAGGATTATAACACTATTATAATAGTAATAATAATACTATTCATATATGAACAATATTCTCTGTTATTACCTAATTGTAATACATTTTAATGTATAGTTAAAAACTAAGAAGTAAATTTAAAATGTAATAAGCAACAACGTGAATATTCTTCTCACTAGGTCACCAGGAATACTAATACTACTAGATAGGCGTTTACTTATATTATATAAAGGTATACTTTTACATGTATCAATTTATAGTAATTGTATATATTGTATAATAATTGTATATTTATGCTGGGTTGCATGAACAATCACTAAACATTTAACGAATCAATAGGTTAAGTCCTTTAAACACTATTTAGTGGTACATGATTGGTCCATTAAATTTTACTGGACCGTTAAATTAATACAATTTTCATGCAACCTGCAACCCGACATTAATGTATTTACATTAATCATCAAATTCTAAAATGATGTATTATAATAAATGCATTAATTTTAATAGAATAGTTAATTTTTTTTTATTGAGTTAAGGCTCCAACGTCTGAGGTCATTACTCATTAGCCTAATTAATTAATTTTATGATTATAAAATAGTGATCTTTCATACACATTATTGTAACTATATCTCGTTTTTAATTTAAATAAAATAATGGATTTATTGAATTTATGAAATTCTCTGCTACGATTTTTAAATTTTCATTTTAAGATTTTCAAACAGTATCAATTGGAAAATATATATTACAATGAGTAAAAAAGGCATAACGAAATATTATACTTTGGATAACAATTTTTTCATAAATTGTACAACCCTTTTTCTTAGAAAAATTATTTTTTAGACAAAAGACATTTTTAGTTTAGTGTATTCCATTTAATTTTAGATTATTAAAAACAATTTTTAGTGCAAAAAAATGTCATTTAAGTTATAAAAGTGATCAGGACAATGGAGAATTTATTTTAATTGTTACTAGGGCAAGGTTTTTTGTAGTATATGCTATTTTGGTGAGAAGTTTAATAAAAAGACGTGTATATAAATGTATAATATAAATTATTACTATTAATACAACTTTAATTTGCTTTTTTCCATAATGTCACTGTTTGGTCATTTTTACAGAATTTTCTCGAACAATATTTAATATTTTTTAAATTGTAATAATTATAAATAAAATCATAAAATCATCGAAATATTTAGAAGACTAATAAACTGATTATCTCAATATCAGAATCGTAATTTTTTCAAAGTGACTTAGATACAGAATATCAATAACAATATAAAATGCATAATGACATCAAACATTAATGTAAAGCAAAATAGTTTAAATAATTCAGACTACATGACATATGATAAACCATCAGTTGACGAAGAAAAATGATTTTTTATGTATAATAATAGATAATTAGCTTCCAATAAAAAAATTAACTAATTTAATTAAAAAATGGGTTAGTGGGTAACACTCTGCTGTATTTAGGTGCCTAAGATAGTCACTGTAATAAATGTGTTAAATTTAAATTCAGTAATATAAAATCATTGTATACGAAAACTGATTCCAAGCAAAGACAGAGGTTCCGTCAGAATGTAATATTTTAAATTACTTAAGTTAATTAAGTTAATATTAAAATTAAGGTTAAGTTCATTTTTGCCGAAAAAATGCGTTCGAAAATGTCATTGTGTGTATAAAATATAATAAGTGTCAAGTATATACGAATAATGATTTTATAATAAATTTGCAATAAATTTATACGCTTTAATATACAATTTCGTCCAAATTTTAATTTAAAATGTATGTGAAAAATAACTATTTTTATATATTTTTAAAATGTGTTGGTTACAGTATTAAATTTTCAAGCATTTCAACCCTACGAAAAAAAAATGTTACATTTATTTGTATAAGTTCTTTAAACTTGACTTAAAAAAAATTCAAATATCTACAAATAACTGAAAACGAGTAAAATTATATTATTTCTATTATGTATAGAAAATGATGAAATAAACATTTGATGAAAATTTCAATTTCCTTGGATTATTGGTTTTTGAATACCTAACACTAAAAAACAAAATCAATTATTCGAACCAAAACTGGTTTTGAGTAAAAATTTCAGTTTTTCCTTATTTTTTTGTTAGTATTATTGACATTAAATGTATTACATGAGTAGGTATGAGACTTTATTTATAAATATTATATTTAATTCGTGCGCAATAAAAGACACAGAAACATATTGTACCTATAGGTAATGTTTAGAAAATATATTTGAGTACCAACCTCCACGGTAACGTATATGCGATAAAAAAAAAAAATTATACATACGCTGTAAGTATCTGCAGGACAACGCGACACTACGTACGGTGTGGATCGATGTGATTATATTATTGATATTATTATATTCGACTATCGATGTAGTGAGACGTCAACGGCTATGATTCCGACGAAGAAGTCGTTACCGATTGAGACGAAAAAAAAAACGGCGTACGATATAGACCGCAAAAATATCGTTGTGCAGTAGGTACTATTAATACCTATACGCGACGGTGTACAATAATAATAGTATATTCAAAGACGACAAAGGCGAAAGAAAAGGCGAAAAAAAATAATTAAATTAAATAACAAGACGTCGGGACAAACCGCTATGATACAATACGGAACTGCGGCGTGTATAACAACAGCTTACAGCACAGAGCACTGCCCGCTGGCAACGGAATAACATAACGTTATGATAATATATTGCATTATAATACTATTTACGAATTATTATGGCGACGAGCGTGCCATAGAGGATGCGACCAAACTCTAGTGACGGTCTATCAGGACTGGACGGCGGCGGCGGCGGCGGCGCGTTGAGCGTAAATGCTTAATATGTTATAATATCATGATTACGATGATATGTGTGTATATGTGTGTGTGTGTGTGTGTGTGTGTGTGTGTGTGTGTGTGTGTGTGTGTGTGTGTGTGTGTGTGTGTGTTTGCTATAATAAATTAATACAAATTATATTGAGGCAAACGTTCACCGCCACTGTACGTCGTATCATTATTATTATTATTATTATTGTAATTATGTGTGCGCGTATCGTTGACGTAAGGACCGCGTCGTGATGACAAAATATAATGTAATGCTATCGAGACTCGAGTTAATAATATTTAAAAAAACATAAAACATCTGTTTAGGTCGCGCATCCGGCGAGGTATTTTAAACGGTATAAGATATAATATTTTCGTCGTCGGTACTTAAGTGAAGGGTACACTCGGAGGAGACGATGACGGACGATGACGACGCGACAGTCGTTTCGAAGCGTGTGACGGTCGCGCGACCACCGACACTCGAAGACACCGCGAACGACGAGCTGTTGTTGTCCCATCATCTTAGCACAATGACAGTATTATTACTGTTCCCCTACGACGAACGATAACCAGAGGTCTATAATAGATTGGGTGGACAACTAATAATAATAATAATCTACAAGCGAGATAATAATTTATCTCGAGTTGAGTGAACGCAAGATCGTTAAGTTTGAAATTAATTGTTATAATGTAATTAATAAATTTGACTCGCCAAGTTTTAGGTTGATGCGGAACAAAATATTGACTTAACCCGAGTTAAAAAATTAGATCTACTTTTTAATTAGTACCTAAGTGCAGGACCACATAAGGAGATCATAAAGATCATTTAAAAACATCAACTGGAACAAATGTTGAATTATTTTTAACTGAACTCTAGACTTGATAAGACAACTATCAAGGATGAAAAACACGTTAACATGGTACTTACGGGGCCGTAATTTTTAAGAAAGCAAGGTGTGCCTTCTAACAATTTGTTTGTAAAACGCTATCTTTGAGCAGGTCGAAAATAAAATAAAAGCGCCAATATTATGTCTTTTAAATCTGATATTTAATATATATTTTTTTTATTACTTTTAAAATAAATGTTTATGTGGTTCTAGTGTCAAACAATTGAGAATATTGGCCAACTACCAAGTATCAAGTGAAAATCAATATTCGTGATATTTAGGGAACCGATTTGAATGCTGCAAATTGCATTTCTTCCTGAATGTCCGAAAACATTGCTTTGCACGCACAAAGTTCATTTCACACATCAAGGAATTAAAAAATGTATTTTTTATGTTTTTAAGTCATTTTTATTTAAGAATGGATAAAATTCGATAGTTATGTAGATAAACATTCGTTCTAAAAAAATAAAAATAAATATGTATTATGATTTTACCGATCAGATAAGCCCTGACTCCAGACGAAATTATTGTTGACACGTGTAAACACATATGCGTACATATTACATGCAATTAGGTAAAGATAAGATAAGCTATTTATCTAAATTGTAACTTTGTATTGAACTGTTGAGTTGAGTCATTGGAAAAAATTTGGGATTTAAAACAATGAAATATATTTCAAATATTTTGGAAGGAAAAGCTACATTTCGAATACAATATCTGAAGAACTAACTGCTGATGACATGGCGCATATGAAGTTTGCACCTACGGCGTCAGTTAACGCGGAACGACATTTCTCGAGATACAAAACAACCCAGCAGATAACCGCCGAAGATTTATGTTTGAGAATAAACTATAAAGCAGCACCTGATTATACTATTATGCTATTATGAAACACAAGGTGAAAGTATAACGAACACATCTATCTAAATTGTATACCTATTAATTTTTTGGAAATAATTTTCAGGGTAAAAAGAAGATAGACAGATGATAATTGAAAATACAAGGGAAGTTTTTATTGTATTTCAATATTTTTATCAGATAAATTTTTCATAATAATGTGTATTTTATAATTTGCAAGTTCAAAATTGTGTTTTTATTGAATTTAAAAACATTTTTAAAGTTTTTCAGGGCATTTTTCTAGTGTTTTTTTTTTTTTTGATATTAAAGCATTTTTTTAAGGCATTAGGTCGTCTTTTTTTAGGACATTTTTCTTATTATTCTTGGCATTAAAGTTTGTTCTTTAATGATATTAATTATATTTATTACGGGTTGTACTATCTGAAAACCAATATTGAATGCGAGCACTCGCAGGACGAAATCAATGCAAATAAGTAAATATCACTATTTTCAATATTTTAAAAAGGCAATCGTAAATGAGCTATGGTTAATTATGTATACGTTTTGGTAGAAGCCACATAAGACTGAATCGCTTCCTGTAGGTGTAGGCAGTAGGTAGGTATACTACTATACTATATAACTATATGCCTATATAGGTATAGACTATAGGATATCGAAGTGATAGTAGCCGGTAGGAATTTTATAAATAGGTAATACAGGGTAGGCCACGACGATAGGGCTAAACATATAAATACAAAACTCTTTACTACGATAAAAATATAAAATACAACACTGTGGCGGTCGACGACCGACAGCGGTGTGCTGCGTTGCCCTATAGGATTTGGACTAAAATATAAACACATCGTTTATGTAATAAATAAATAATAATCATCTATAATCATCTTTCGGGGAATTGCTGTTTATTCTTTATAGGAATGTGGTGGGATCTTACGAAACTAAACTTGGGCGGGTGCACAGTTTAAACGCTTAACCGAACCCGTCTTATTAAGCCGATACACAATATAGTATCGACTGTTGACCACGGGGGCTAGGCTATGCCAACTGTACATACACACCATCCCGATATTCATAAATATTTAGAATTCAAATTTTGATGAAATTCATCGAAATCTCGACAATTTGCAAGCTATTTTTGTAGTTAAAATGTATAAAATGTTCAATTTTCATAGCTAAATATTGAAAATTTAAAAACAAGGTCAGAAGAGACTCGCCCACTTGCCCGGTTTTTTTGTTTCTCCAGATTATTTAGAAAACTTCTGACAATTAGGTATTGCAAACTAAAATACCTACCTTATTTTTGGTTGCTTCGTATTTAATTTCAAGCGGTTCATGTTGGGTGTTTGTATCACCAACCGATATTGGTAGTTCAGGACTCTAAGTACGCATTACCAGGTACAGCTAAGGGTAATCGTAATCATTTTATGGTTATTTTAAAACTTATTCAATTTCCCAATTAATCATGACAGGAAAATTAATACAGTCTATAACTCTGAACTATTAAACTTTATTAATGCTCAGTCTAAGACTTGTAGTCATAAAAAGTCACCAAATATACATTTATATGCAAAATAAAAAATATACCTAAAATATGCATTTTAAAAACAAAATCAAGAATATTTTTTTATAATTTATTTGACTGAATTTATTATTTTGAGTTAGTTTTATTTGTTCCAAATGTTACAACATTAAGTATTAGTGTATTACATGTTATTATAATTTATAAAATTATCAGGATTCTAGGAAAACGTGAGCTGGGGCCAGTCAAATACCATATTGGCATATTATACAATAACTAAAAATAAATTTGTTTTGGTTATTTTATTTCAAATAAAAATTACATTGGAGAATAAATTGATAAAATTATTAACTAAGTTAAATTTGTGTATTAAAAAGTATAAAATCGAAGGAATATACTCTAAAAACAAAAAAACTCAAAATATGCATTTATGTATCTGCAAAATACATTTTTAAAACTATCTCAGTAAAAGCATGAACCGTATTTGTTTCGTAATTAGCTATTTTTGTGGTTGTGCAAAACAGATATACAGACGATACAAGTCCTTTGCCCTAATGTTCACCATAATATATAAAAAATACGTTTTATACAATATTGAATATTTTATATTAAATTATTATTGATGTACCTATATTTTTTATACTCATTCAAATTATAATATACTTTCAATATTTTAAAAAGATTCTGAATTATTTTGTTAATTGTTAGAAGCAAATAATAATATCTTTTTAAAAATTAAAAATTCAAACTGTGTTTAGAATCAGTCATACATGCGATTCAAGATAAACAAGCGAGTAAAAACCAAAAAAATATTTTACCCATAATAATCGATGGAATAATTACTAATAAGTAAGTTAGTTTTGTAAGTAACAATATTATTATTTAACTTTAATTGTTGATACACAATATGTTATTTTACCAAAATTAATGAACTTGTTAAAAAATTGATTATTATCAAACGTAAACAAACAGAAATATAATTACAACTCCATATTATAAAAACAAAACAATGTTTAAATATTAGTTAGGTCTGACAGTTAATAATGTTGTTATAAAATATTACAAACTATTATTACTATGCATGCTAAAATTTAAATTGAATCTAACATTTCAATATGGGTCATATACCACCGCACCGTATGCTCGGCTTCGCAATTCCCCTTTTATTTATATAAATATATAATACTCCACTTGTAACTGATTAGTGGTAAGTACCTTTATTAGTCCTTCAAAAAGTAATATCATAAATTACATATTTATATAAGTACTATACATTTAGATGGTACCTTTGATGCTTCGACAGTATATGACAGTGATACTCCACCGGTGTGTCACGAATATGGTTATTGGTTCAATAAAGTTGTGGCAAATATAGAGTTGGAAGCAGGTATTTAATTTTTGTCTAAACTATAAAAGCTTAATTTATTATAACATATAAGTGATATAACTATATAAAAATTGTTTTGTGTTTTAAATTTCCTGATATCAACATATTATAATTTAGACTTTTTTCATAATTATTATTTTATGGCTAAAACAGTTAAATTGTGAACTTTTAAATTATCATTCCGCATTTCGGTGAGTAATAAAATATGTTTATTAAGCTATTTTTCATGGATAATTTTTATTATATAACTAAATAATAAGATTTTCTAAGATCTGAATATTTAAAATAGGTCTCTAATACCTGAACATAGTTATCTCAGTATTCAGTTTAAAACAAACTGTGAGTAACAATAGTATTGGTGTATGGTAGATAGGTACCTCATAAGCTTTCCATGACAAATTTAAACTCATAAACTCTAACTAACTACCTACTTACATGTTAAGAGGACGCAACACTGGGATTTGTTGTCTCCGTCTTACAAGTTCGTAACATAGCAAATGTATGACCAGCAGAACACGTGTAGCTTCGTTAGGTTAAAAATTAGAGTGAATAGACCTATTATGAAACTTGATTGTAAGAACATTGTCTGTATTGGAATGTTGGTTTTTTACGATAGTTCGATTTTTTAACAAGTTATATGCACATATTATATAGAGTAAATTAAAAATACTCATAACTCACTTAAAAATTCAACTATGATAAAAAACCAACATGCAAACACAGATAATTAAAATTATTATCTTAGGAGGAAATAGGGGACGGGGCTAAGCACCTCCCTCCCCAAAGAAAGTTCATCAGTTCCTCTCCAAAAGTCCAACAGTCATTGTAAAGAGGAAGAGCACTCTATTATTTAAGTTCTTTTGAAAAATAGTACCCCCCCCCCCTGCCCAATATCTCTAATGGATTTCCGCCTATAATGGTTATCAAACCTTATATCTACATGCCTTTTCAGAACTTTTCCTACATGTAGGTCAGATCAAAATGCAATTAGTCTAAATAGTAATTACTATAATTTACAAGGTCTTTAGGTATATGATAAAAAAAATTGTATACTTACCCAGTGTCCATGTAGGTATAAGTAGTTACCTAATAATTATTTCACAGTGAAAACTTAAGATCATTAGATGATTCTAATCGTTTTCATTAAAAAGTAATTTAAGCATTACAAATCAATATATATATTTACTACTTTTAACACCTCAAAGAAGTAATGAATACAGAATAGAATTCAAATAGGTAGGTACATAAACCAAATATAAGTCATACTATACTAGATAGGTACAATAAGAACATGCACAAGTATACTTATAAATTACTGCTTAATTAATAGGTATCTATGCGTTACTAATAAGTAATATGTATAATATAACATGTGAGTTAATAAAAAAAATATTGGTACTTTCATACAATTACAATAGCATATTAGCATCTAAAATATGGTACTCGGGACTAAATTTACATCAAAATTTTGTTGAACATTGTGGCTCTAAAAAATTACATTGGTTTTTTCGTTAAAAGCTGGAACTGTTGACTGTACTGGAACAACTATTATACGAAAAATATGAAAAAATTGTTTTCTGTGTAGGTATTTAATGAATATTTTAATATTATACCCAAATATCGATATTATATTCCAGTAGGCTGTTATAAAGCTATATAGGTTGTATCTTGTGTATAGGTCTCATAATGTGAACGGACTCCATAGATAAAACACATTGATTCTTCAATAATCAATCCTAATATAACTGTCAGAATGCATTTATAAAAGGATAGACTAGCTTTTGACTTAATCTAAGCAAGTATTCCACCTAATTAGTTAAGTTGTATACAATTGTAACGACCATATTTCGGGGTATTATTTTTAATTTCACTGGTGACAGTTGATTAATAAATAATTAATTTAAGGGACAATGGAACGTGCCCGTGTCATAACTATACATGCAAGTTAATTGGGATGCTTAAAATCCTTCCATACATATTATATGCCGTATAGGTAGGTGTTGCTAAGTATATTTATAAACGCTGTGTGAGCGGCCTATGTAATAATTTATCATAACATGGCTTAGAAGCCGACTGGAGAAATAAAGTTGCAATGTAAGAAGGGTTGGGCTTCATGGAGGTTTAATAATAGATCTGTATTTCTCACCAAATAGTATATAATAGTTATTTTAAAACCGTTCTACGGCGTCTACAGTTCGTTTACTTGTGTCTTTGAGTACATATCAAAAACCAAATGACAAAAACACTGTCAGCTAGGTAGGATCACACGCATAATAAAATTTTAACAAATATTGTACCTGAGTGCCTACTTGTTTTTTCTCTATGTTTGTAAATCACACTTTAAAAGGTTAGGATAATCAATAGGATTTAATAACAGTGTATAATAAACAAATTATTTTTACATATTAATAATAGGTTCGACAAAACGGAATGCTGAAATGGTGATATTCAAGGCAGAATATATTCCAGAATACAAATGGATAATGCTCGAGGTAAAGTACTGAAATCATAATAATGTTTATTTATACATATTTTTAATTTTGTTGTGCATTTTTGTATTAAAATACGGTTTTGTGTTGATTAAAATGTAGGTTTTTTAAAATGAAAATATACGAAATCCATTTGAATATGTAGGTAGCTAAATTTATTAACTTGTTTATATTAATTACTAATTTATTCTTTTTTAAATTATGATGAATATATTTTATTTATTAAAAAAAAATTTTTTTTAATCTTTTAATAAACAAAAATAACTTATAGTAGGTAATGATAAAGGGATAATTTTAAATATCTCGTATTCCCGTGTAGATACGTATTTTAAAGAAAACATCATTACGTATAACATTCAAATATGTCATGTAACAGTGACATAAGAATGATATTATACGTGTTTTTTTCTGTATCTGTCATAGCCCTATGAAGCAGTAAAAAATACTTGAATTTTGAGAGTGGTTTCTAGTAGGTACCTAGAAAATTAGCTTCGACTCCTTTATCTTAAATCTATTCTAATAGGAAAGTGAATACACATACATATTTTTAATATTCATTTTTTGTTTTTTTCTATTCATCATTTTTTACTTTTCATTTAATATTTTACTTCTTATAATTAAATGTTATACGTATAGTAGTAGTAAATATAGTTGTAATATAGATAATACATCATAAACATATAAAATACACTCAATAATGTAGGCTGGTAGATTGTTTTGCTCAGAATGGTTTTTATTGCAATTCTAAATTATTTTAAGAATTCTACTTACAATTTTAGTTTAAGTTTTTTTTTAGTGTTTATATTATTTTTATATAAATGATTATATTTTTACCGTAGGCATCGTTATACTTTAAGGTGACCATATTGTTTTCAGTAAAATGTTTTTGCTTAATGGTGTAAAATACCTAATTGTAAAACGGTTTTTATTATTAAAATAATTTAATTACTACTTATGTATTTATTGCTCATTAATTATAATTTATCATTTATTATTTTTATTTTAATGAAAGACGGTATTTTACATAATACTACTCCTAGTTACCTCAAAATTTAATATACAGTAGAAACCGCTTGTTAAGAACACTTTTGGACCAAGGTGAAATATGTCAATTAACCAATTGTGTCTAATAGATGATTGGTTCTTTCTTGTAGTAGGCCGGCCCATCCCAAACATTTTTTTTCAATAACAATTTTGTATCAATTATCCCTATTCCTAATAAACAGCTTCTACTGCACTAGTATTCAAATTAAAAATTAATTTTGTAGGTACTATTTGTATTAATTAATTTATAATCCTTCTTTATTGACTATTGTATGATCAATTTTAAAATTGATTAAAAATATAGCTAACACTTAGTTAATACTTATTTTGTAATTTGTATTACAGTCAAATTCGAATAGTGCAGTTACTACCAATAAAGAAATAAGCGCTTTAAAATGTAAATCTCAAAATAATGTAAGAGTTGAATTTGAATGTTTTATAAATTAAAACAAATTTTTTTATCGCCAAATAAAATCATTCATTTTTTTCAGATTCTAAATAAGTATCATCAGAATAATATTGAAACCGATTTTCCATCAATATTTTACTTAATAAACTTAGTAGAAAAAATGGTATGATTCATTAAATTAAAGGTATATTTTCCTTCAATTTATACTAATATTTCATTTTTTATTACAGATAAAATATAATAACAAATATTATGAGAGAGTTGAAAAGAGAAAACAACAACAAATTATTGAATTACAAGGATTAACTATGTTTTTGGAAGATATTTGTAATGATCTTAAAGATCTTTAGAATTTTAACTTATGGTAATTTAATATGGCATAGATTCCACATGGTGATCAATGTAATGTTAAAAATACTTTGAATATGTAGTAACTACATATATTATTTTGGTTATTATGATATTCTCATTACTAAAGATTTATACATTCACAATTGTTATACACTTTTTCTGGTTTCCATAAATCATTGAATTATTACTATGTTCAACTTATTTTTCTAACTCTAGTTTTTTTAAATCTTAAGATATTATATTTTATTAATAGAATTAATCTGTACATTCAATTGTCTTTTTTATGTTAACTATGACTATTATTAATAATCGTATATCAATATTGAATGCTAAATAATAAACCATATATGTTTAACTGCCTAACATAGTTCAATACAGCTATTTTGTATAATATTTAATTACTTATTCAATTAAATATAAATAAACATTATATTATAACCCTAGATATTATGTACTTGCACTAAATTAATATTTAAAATTATTTTTACAATTAGACTGGTGCTTGAGCATTTTATGACAACTAATAGTTTTGTGTTTTTTGGGTTAGCTATTGTGTAGTCACACATTACAGTAACAGTTTTAAAAAAACAGCGTAATTAATTAATACATCTATAATCTACATTAGGCAGGTCAAACTCAAAGTATTGACTGGGCCAAATGTATTGAACATTTTACTATGCAGCCACAAAAAAAATGTATCAAAAAAAACATTTTATACAAATTTTTAATTTTATTCATATCGAACACAACCAGTACAATAAAATTACATTCATTAACATTTATTATTTAAATTTAAAAAAATATCAAATTAATTATTTATGAAGTAAGTATTATTTAAATAACAAGACAAAATTGAATTAATAATTCCCTTTTGATGTTTGCAATATTTTTTACATCTCTATTTTCTGCCAAAAACTTTTCTATTTTGGGTGAAATTGTATTAGATGAAGCCACTTTTAAGACTTTAACATAATTGTGACACAGAAAGAATGTATGATTATTTTTATAAATTTTTTTGTACAGTTAATATTGGTAACCACAGGACATAAAAAAATTAACAATGTGTTTTAAAATTAGTCGCATGTTTGATATGCTTGATTTACATGAATACATGAATAACACATTTCAATGTAAGTACTAAAAATAATATAATAAAAAGTAAAGGCTGTGTAAATGTGTTTTATAAAGAAAATCAGTATAATACAATAATATTAAAATTAATAGTGTTAGTCTTCTAAAAAATTAGGACTATTTAAACACATACAATCATCGCAAACAATTTTTTTTTTTTTAATATGAAGACACAAAACTAGTAAGACACAAAACTGAGTTCAATAACAAAATAATAATTGTATACAAAATCAAAATTTAATTTAATCAATATAAATTGTAGAGGTTAAGGTTAAGAAAATTGCATTATGAACATTATGGCAGCTTGACTTAAAACAAATAATAAATAATCAAATTTATGTTAGTCGTCAAAAATATTTTTTAACCTTGTGATTTGATAATATTATAGAATACAAAAAACATATAATTCAATTATTACAAAATAAACACATTGACAATTTGTACTAAACAAAATGAGTTAAAGTGACATAAAATACATTTCACCTTTTATATTGTGTATAATACTTTGGTATGGTTTTGTCATACACCATTCATACCACACTTTGTACTTGTTACTGCACCGCCAAAAATTGATTTGAATTTCTTCTCCTTTATCAAGTAACATTGGTTTTACTAGAGGAAAGTAAGCAGGAAACCAACTGAACATGCCATCACTAAATGATTCTGGGACAATGCTAAGACGCACGTCTTTATAAAGTACCGTTTCAAAGTAACCAGCAAAACCATGTAAAACGCAATCTTGGGATATATTGAATTTCAAAAACCCGTCTCTGTCATTACTCTCCTCTACATTTTTTTTCGGGTGAACAAATGTAAAAAGGGCTTTTGGTGGAGCTATAGAATAGACATTGTTTAATTGTACTACATACGGTTTTTGAAAGTTACAATTATCATTATTTTTCCTAATGGACGATATTTCTGCATGCAATTTACGTGATTGTATTGGTCCTAAATAAGAAGTATAACTTGAAGGTATACTGATTCCATCTTTTTTCAAATATTTTTGAGCCCCATCTAAACACTCTGGAGATAATTCATTATCACCAAAAGACCCCAATAGCTCTGATACTAAGATATCACATTTTTTTGACGGATTCCATAACCGCATATCCTCATTTATAATAGTAACACGATTTTCCCATTTTTCTTTATTTTTTAAGAACAGTGATGGTAAAGCATTTTCATTCTTTTCAATGGCACTTATTTCAACTCTAATATTTGATCCCTTAGCTGCTTCGAACGTAGCATCTACTAATGGACCACGACCAGCGCCAACAACATAAACAACAAGTACTCTATCTTCATACTTATCAATTAAAGCTTTGGATATCGCTCTTTGATACTCGTAATACTTGATAGGATCTTGCTCAAATGTCTCATAAACATAAGACTGTAAATTATGTTTCAATGGTTGCAATGGTGTTTGAAGATAATCTTCAAAGCCGCTTATAAAGTCAGAACTATAAGGGGTTAATGATGTAGTATTTTGGTATAGATGGCCTAAATAATTGAATTGTTGTTTAATACCTAACTGTCCAGATATTACAATTTGACAGCCTATATTGAACATTTTTTTAATAAATTCTTGATGAGGCTTAGATAACACTGGGTAACCTTTTTTATTGGTTATAAATATGTTGGACTGTATTATTAAAGCTGCAACTGGTTCTCCTAACCAACGGTCAAGTTCTTCGTCACTAGGTAGCTCAGCCCCAATTTCTAATGCTAATTTTATTCTATTTACATTTCTTATTGATGATATGAATTTAGTCCATTTTTTCCAAGGGTCTGTTTTTAAGTTGACTATTGGTACTAATGCCCAAAACTGTATTAATACAGCAGAATTTATATAAATATCAATTTGATTGTCCAGCAATCTAACCAAATTTACAACATCTCCATGTAATGGTAACTCAAACATAATGCAATATACATTTAAAAATGTAGCCCATGAAATGTCTTCTGTAAAAGATTTTTGATTTTCTAGTCTGGTACTTTCAGTTTCTGAATCAACATTAGGTTGAGAAATGTTTGCAACAACACAATGACACCACTTTTGACAAAACTCAGGATTCATAACAGTACTAGATGGATCTAATACTTTAGAATTCGATTTTAACCTAAGATTTGACACATGTAAACAGGCAAAAGTTAGTTCCAATTCTCTTACAGTATCCATACACGCCTTGATATTTGTGTCCGTGAGAAAATTGAAGCCAAAACGTACATCCTTAATTGACATTGTGTATAATTAATTGAAATTTCAGTGTTGTATGTTTCAAAACCTGCAAAATAATTATAAGATTATAATAATAATAATGATAAAGTATTATTATGTAAGTATTATATGTAATTATATTACCTATATGCATAAGAATAATTAATATGCAGTAAAATATTTGGTATAATATTATTGTAAGAAATCAGCTACTAAGAGGGTCAGAGTCGGTGGTTGTTTAAGACAAAAAATGTCTAACTTGAAAAACTATGGCGCTCTGTGGAATTTTTGCAATTCATTGATTTTTTTTATTTATAAGTAGAGAACATTTTGCAGAATATACATTTAAATAATGCTCAGTATTTGTTATTTTTCTACCACTATCCACTATTTAAAGTAAAATAAAAATTCAGACTTTAAATCCGACCGAAAAAATTTCTCCTTTCAAATAAAAAAATGTTTCAAAATTTGACTTTTCAATAAGACGTGAGTTTTTCCTGTGAAATAATTTTTGTTGATGTACAAAAATAGGCATTGAGCAGTAGATTAGTGGAAAAGTATTACAATGAAGGTAGCAACTAAAACATTTAAAACTGAATAGAATTGCAGAAAACTGGAAAAATCAGCACCGACACCCTGAAGGTTAAAAAAAGCAATTCATATAATTAGTTAGGTAATTAGTAATACATTTCAAAGATACATTGATTTTTTGGAAATTAAAATCGTATTAGTAAATATTTTTCAAGATATAAAAAAAGCTTACATGTTATATTAGAAAAGAAATAATTAAGTTTGATATCTATATCTACTGTCTATACTCTCTATACATTAAACGTTGCAATACTAAACTAACCCAAAAATGTCAAATAATGTATTAATAACAATTATCTATTCATCATTATGAGTGTTGAGTACCTACACAATACTATTATAAATTAATTTAAATGTTACCGATACAGCCTAATCATTAGATATGCTTCACCAATTAATGCTAGGATATACCTACTGAATTTAGTAAAAGGTGAAAAATTGTTTTTTCGTTCTTACAACAAATATGTTGACAACATAAGGTATAAACAAGTATGTCAGTAAAAGATGATTGACTCATAACCGAGGACTAATATGATTATTAACGGTCTAGACTGTTAAGCAAAGCTTATTGCTTAGATCAGTTAAATCTTTTGTTAAATAGTAAAATTATACAAAATATTATTACTTATTAGTACTACCTATTTACCAAGAAAATGGTAAACCTACATAGATAATGGTCATTAATTCACTAAGAAGACAAGCTTTACCTAGTGATCAGCCATAGATTATTATTTATTGGTAATTCTCCAAATTGACAAATGTAAAAAATTACTCAGAATTTATTACTAAACTAATAATATATTCAGACAATATTTTGCAGTCTAAAGTAAGTAAATCATGTTGTGGACTTGGCACTCAATAATTCTGTCAAAATAGTATTATTTAAATATGTACCTAGGTATAATACTATACTATGTCAAAACAAACCTTGACTATTTTTGGCTACACATACTAAAAGCACCGCCGCCATGCCAATCTATATCTAATAACGACTGTAATGATAACAAAGCCGACAGCAATAAAAACACTATCTATCGTTTCTAACAAATTTTTAAACTAATTAATTTGAGTCTTAATTTGGTTCAAGAACCACGCGAAACTGATTTGAAAACCGCATGCAGATAGCAAGCCTTGTTGTGGCCACCCCTGGTATGTAGATATTCAACAAGTATAACATTTAACGTGTCCAATCATTTTATTTAGGGATTCTTAGATTAATGACCTTAATTGCACAGCAAACAAACCTAAGTCATTATTAAACTTGCGTCCAATATTAATAAAATCCACAAGTGCTTGTGTTTGGATAGGGTATCGATAACTTAATCATTACTTTCGAGGCGTTCAGGGCATCAAAAATTGCAAACACATTGGACAAAAAGAAAATAGCGATCACAGCTTTGATGAAAGCGGAACATAGTACTGCAAAGATGTTAATGAATTGTTAATCTTTAAGACTACCCACCTACTGTAAAAGCAGAGGATCAAATCGAAATCGAATAACTAATAAAAAAAGAGTTATTACCGTTGTAACGTGCGGCGTTGTCACCGAATCCTCCAGCCAAAGTATGTTGAACTCGCTTCGATTCCAATAGAAATGGACTTCACGTAGGTACAATACAATTAGTACTATGCCTGTAATTGCCTACTTGTTGTTTGTATCGTAAACATAAACGCTTATTCAAATTTCAAAACCTCGTTTAGAATGATAAAAAGGAGAATAAAAAATGCTAATCAGTAATCACACACTATGATAACAGTAACAAGTACGCACATACGACATATGTTTTACAACATCTATGACTATCATGTACGAGTGTACGACACCGGTAACGGCGGCCGCCCGGCTTTCACGCACAAAGACAACGATGATAAAATAAATGTTTGTTTTTATCACGGGTAAAAAATCAACAACAAAATCGTCGTACGATACTACGATGACGGCACTATCATCAACAACAACCAATGACAAATCTTTCATTATCTGCGTTACCCAACGATGCTACACAACAATACTGTCAACAACAGCTCACTCCTCGGCAGCCGTCCATATTTAGTATTTAATATTATTTACATAATACTTTATTCTATATTTCTGTGCCGGCACCCGAGACTACGATCTACCTTCGGTTAGGTTAGGTTAGGTTAGGCCTTGGACCACAGAATAATAAGACTACTTTTTTTTATTTCTCGGGAGGCAACGATGATTATAGTGATTATACAAAACGTCTGACGTAGAGCAGGAGCTTGGGGAGGTGGTTACAAAATGGCGTAAACGCTCGTCTAGGCTAAAAGGTGTGCGCCACGACAGGTTCTGGTCACGGTTAAATATAATATTTCAAAATATTCGGCAATGCAATTTTGCTTATGCGCATGCTCAGAGGCTCGGAGATATCGTGTGAACGTTACCTGTGCAAACCACCGAATTCTGTATCCCCGGGCGCTTATAATTATTATAATAATATAAATTATTGACGTCTTGCCAGTAGCCACTGACCAATTATTGTTTAGATTGCTCACCACATAGACGTTTTCCCGAGGTTTAGTGTAAAAAATTGAGATAAGGCGACAAGTGAGCATAACATAACATTAATTATTGTTTTTCTATACCTTCTCACACTCGTTTCGTTCAAATTAGGCAGTGTTCCAATAAAAAATATTCAATGTGCAGGCGTAATTAGTCCGTTCTTGAAGGTCATCAAGTGTTTATAATACCACCAATTACAAATACTGTACAAATGAGGTTTAATTTAAAATTTTAGAAGAAAATGATATTAATACTTCCCAGATCATTTTATCAGATAAGATCATTTTTACAGCAAATTATTTCCATCATAACATATCTATAAAACCGTTTCATTCAATAGCAATTTTTTTTTACCAATTTGTGTTTGGTGGGTAATCACGTTTGCAAATGACAACATATGTAACGATTCAGATGATACAAGTGAACATTTAACAACTATAGTGTGATGAATACAATCATACAAATAACACTTCCATTATAAATGCTCCTCTAAAATATAGTAGTAGGAGTACATAACTAATATTATCTCCAAATAAAATACGAACACAATATAACGGAAAATCTTTTATTTAATTTATAACTAAAGGAATTTTTAAATTAAACTGGATTTATATGGCAATAAATAATAATCTGGATAAAAAAAATTGTTATCACTTATGCATTAACTGGAACAGCTACTTAAATTTAAAAAAAAAATGTAATACCTTAATCCCAAAAATGTAACATTTTGTCATCTAAACAAATTATTTTAAATAAGATAATAAAAAAATAATTCATTAGTACAAAGAAACATAGTATTATCAGTTATGATGTGATACATTTATTCAACAGTTTTGAAGTAGTCCTTGGATTTTGATGGATTAATGGTCTTGCTACCTGGTTTCCAATTGGCTGGGCAAACTAAAATTAAAATTAAATTAATTTATAATTCCTTATCATCCAAAATTTTTAATCAGACTTACCTTCTCCATGCTCATCAGTATATTGGAATGCTTGAACAAGACGTAAAGTTTCATCAACAGACCGTCCAACAGGCAAATCGTTGATAGTAATTTGTCTCAAGTTTCCTTTATCGTCGATGATAAACAAACCACGGTACGGTATTCCAGTGGCTTCATTATAAACTTGGTAGTCCTTGGCAATAGAAGCAGACTTGTCAGCTAACAAAGGAATTTGCATTTTTCCTAAGCCACCTTCATTACGAGGAGTGTTTACCCAAGCCAAATGACTGAAGTGGCTGTCGCAAGAGGCTGCGATCAACTGACAATTGATAGCCGCAAATTCATTAGCCCGATCAGAAAATGCAATAATTTCAGTTGGGCACACAAAAGTACTAAAAATAAAAAAAAACAAGTTAAATATTATAGATAAAAAAAAATAGAAAATAATATATATATATATATTACAAGTCCAATGGGTAGAAAAATAAAACGACATATTTTCCTTTGAATGATTCTAACGAAATGTCTTTAAACTCTCCATTGACGACAGCAGTGCCCTTGAATTTTGGGGCCGGTTGTTCAAGTACTAAAACCATTTTTCTAAGAAAAAAAAAAATGATGAGTACCTAAGAATGAGTTGCTTTAAAAATTAAAGTTAAGAATATATTACTAACGTAAATTGTTTTCTTTTATACTATACTCTGTTCCAAATAAGATCATGACCCAGTGGCTGAGTTCCAAAGCACTGGTCTCGAGTGTCTAACAACACATCTGACCGCCACCCAAAGAAAAACTGGTCACCCCCGGGTTACGATCTTAATTCGAACAGAGTATATTATATGTATATTGGTAATCATAATCAAATATCAGGTAAAACACAAGACCTTATATTAATAGATAGAGCCTTTCCTAAATAATATATATATGTTTTCAGCTACAATAAAATATAACACAAGTGAATAGCGCCAATTAGTAGCCAATATTGAAGATAGATTAGCCTAACCTTTACATGACTATCCCTACCCTATACATGCATAATTTTAAGAAAAGAAAATCTAAAATCTAATATTGTAAGTACTTCATGTACATGCAAACAAATAAAAAAAACATTGTAATGAGGCAAGGCAGTTACGATAAATATAAAAGAAGTGTGTTCATGGACAAAAGTGAGGTGGAGTATTAGACGGCTAATAATATATAATATTAAACACCCAATATTCATTTTTTTTAAGATTATAAACTTGTTAAATTGCTGGTAGATCAATAATTAATGGTATCAAATCATAACTATTTGAAAAATTAATAATGTTAATCAAATTATTTAGCCTAGTTACCTTATTATTATATATTTATACTGCACTAAATTATCACAGTTAAATAATAATTTATGTGTCTATATTAAGATTGTAGATTATGATGTCTTTAATCTATATTTTAATTATTACTCTTCTCAAAATGTTTATAAGCAGCAATGATAACAAAATATAATTGTTGCATATTTTATTATTATAATTATTGTTTAATATAATTTTCAATAACTTTAATATTTATACATACAAGTAAAATTAATCTGTTAACAAAACACTTAATATGCAGAAAATTTCATATTTGAGTAGATATAAGAAGCTATATTAATTAACCTAAGATATAAGGTTTAACTTATGAATTATAATTTTATTAAATTAGGACCAACAATAGATTTACTTATTGTTACATAATAATATGTACTTCATAATATATTACTCAAACAAAAATTATTTGTATCATCTATGTGTATTATCTATTCACATTTTGTTTATACAAGTAATTAATTCCTTAATTAAATATAAAATACTTATGGCTTGGTTTTTTTTAATTTGATTTTCAATTATTTAATTATATCAATATTATTTAGATACTAAGTCAATACTTAAAACATTATCTTGTTTTAGTGAAGTATAATTCACTTGATAACATAATATAATACCAATGTCATGTAATATTCAGTACACCATAAGTTTTTATTTAATAATAATAACCAGAGCGAGCCGAAGGTATTATACAGAACCACAGTGAATAATGATTCAAATATTATCAATAACTAAGCTTTATATTACAAGATTAAAAACGTAGGTAGCTGGAAGGAAATGAAAGAATTTAAAAACTAAATGGACTAGGGTTTCCTACAATTCAGTACATATGCCACGGTTAAGCGATGTAGAAAAACGCGATAGTTGATGTCATGAAAGAACTAGGAATCATCTTTGAGTTTGTACGGTGACGGCGCACATGATAGTTCTTTCACGACAGCGACTATGGAGTATTTCAATAATCGTGCAACAGTGGCTTTGGGTACGCATAAATACATAATAATTATTGCATAATATTGCGCAAGCTAAAAAAGTTGATTTGCATAAGGAAGCGAGTGGTCGATTTTACGACGGCGGAACCTAACGCATGAACCAATATTATGAAACAAACCGATCGCGGAAATAATATTTTACGAATTGAGAGAGCATGCCTGAGCCGAGTCGCGCCCGAATATATGACAATACAATGACAATCATCGCAACACAGGCTGCGGCGATAGGACGTATAACCTAAAACGTGCACGGCCCAACGACAAAATATGTCGGCGGTAACCACGTCGTCACGCAATCGGTCCGGCGGAGGCGACGGTGGAAAAAACACGGGGCCGCGCGAAAAGCATGGCCGGACCGACGATTCGGATGAAAATATTTACCTGAGGTTTGTGTTGCGACGAAACTCGTGGAATGGACAAGAAAAACAACGTCTTGCGTCTGACGGGCGGCGTGTGCTAGCGGAACGGTTGTCAGCGAAACAAATGACCTGAGCGGAGAGCGGCTCTGAATCACAGGAATGTGTACGCCGATTACGATTTTACGGGCGCTGCTGTCGTCCGTGTTCCGAGCGGCGCCGCGCGCCTGTTCGTGCGTGCGTAGCACTGGCCCGCGGCACCGGGCGCACGTCGTTGCACACAGAAATCTGAACATCGGCCGTAGTCAACCGGTTTGAAGTTGTGTCCGTGGTTCGTCGCACAGGGGGGCGCGGGGTACGGGTGTCATTGGATCGTCAGCAATATTAGTGTGTATATACGTGTATTGTGTATATATATATATATATATGATATATCCCCATAATATGAAGTTTATTTTATAAACATATATATAATATATATATACGTATAAAGTATATTGTATATGGACAGTATTTGTCAGTTGAAATATTTGAATCAACGAATAATCTAAGCGTTTAGTAAATATACGATTAAACTCGTTAAAAATACTGATAATACTCGAAATATCGCAAGTCCAATTTATAATAAATTCAAAAGACCGTTTGGCGGGAAGGTGCTCGCACTAGCTTAGTACAAGTCTGAAAATGGGCCGTTCAAAGTTCTCCTGTGTATAACGTAGGCCTATCTCTACTTATCTTCTCGCTTACGATAAGTGTTGTTGCCCCCATGACTTATGACTATATAATGCCCCAAAATAGTATTTTACTACCCAAGCTAATAACATCATCTAGCTAGCAGGTCCATTCTATGATGAAATTCGGATGAGTGCAATTATTTTTACTAAGCCCGAAGACTTTCCCGTTGCAGTGTATATTTTACCCACGCATTGCAATTCTCCGTGGTTGGCCTTTTCTGCAATATATGGACTATGGTCCGTGCTAAGATGCTATAATAAATTGTTAATAATAACAATCTGCTTTCCCAGGATATGATGTTATAATAATATGACAAGATGATTCTCGACATAATAAAAATGTGTAACGCGATGTAGTCGCCGTACGTGTTAACCAAACTACAATAACTTTGTGACTGCGATTTTTTTTTTTAATGTAAACTCCTGTGTAAACAATAGCATTTCGTGATATTATACCACTGCCAGTCCACTGCAGGTAACCACTATAGGTACTACGGAGGAACTATTCAGTCTTTAGAGTCAAATATTCATTTAGACTTTAGAGGTACATTTTGACCAAACAAAGTATAGAGAAGCACAAAGCCAATGCCCAACAGTCTTCAATAAGGATATTATTTCATATTTATGTACATAAAGGTATAGGTGTGAAAAATGTACAGTAATATTTTGTCTTGTACAGTTCTACAGTTGTACTTTGTATTAGTGTGTAATGTATAAAATGTTTATACATATTATATATTTGTTATATACCATAATATTTATCATAACTCGTATCTTTTCATCCTATATCTGGTAAACTAGAAAATTCCCTAATAATTACAAACATCCGACGTAGTCATAATTTATGTAGGTACCTAACGAGTCTGTTGTCAGTCTGTTAGATTACATCGTATGAGTGCGCGTTTGTTTTCGAATTTTATATTTTTCGTGGTTCAAAAGCAAGTTTGCATTTAAAAATGGAATTAATTCATTCCAGCAAAAAATACCTTCAGCTAGGTTGAGATTTTTGTTAAATTCCAAAAAAGAATGCTCTAATATTGTTTGTTGGAAGTATTCAAAAAACAGCCCTATGAAGTGTCCATTCGTAAAAACTGATTTAGAAATAACTCTTCCAACTTTTGTTTCTGTGCATTATAATCATGTGCGTCAAGGGAATAAAAATCTTATTTCTGTGATAAAAATTAAAAACTTAAGTTTAGCTGCAAGTCATAACTAAGAAACAGTTGTGATTAAAATATAATATTTTAAATTGCATTGTTATAATAACTATCTAAGAACTATTATATTTATTATTTCAGACTTTCTAAATTAATTTACTTTTTCCTAGTGTGGCACATTTTTTGTCGGGACTTTTTTTTCCTAGTTCGAGACTTTTTTCCGCGATTGAATATGATATTTACATTTAAGTACTTTCAAGGTTTAAGATCTTCTATGGATTTTCTATTTTAAACAGCGAGTACCACGTCTTGGTATATAGGTATTAGATATGAATAATTTATTTTGTTAATTTACAGATGTCCAGGTAGCGTAAGTAAAGTTGGGATTTTGATGAACTTTGCATTGTTTTTCTAAGCTACTGCAGCGCTGGCGATAAAATTCTATCGTCTTGGCAGAGTCATCACGGAGGCGTAAATTGTGTCATTTTACCTCCATGGCTCCATCACAATACTTTTATAAGTAAGCTTATTAAAATACAATTAAAAAAAAAAACAGATTTTAGTGTTTTTAAAATGCTTAAAGCTCTATCAAAACTCTAAAACACCCCCAAAAAAATGCAAAATAAAAACTTACTGGCGAGTGCAATAGGTTTGTAAGTAATAGGTACATCTCAGCGGTAGAGGTAAAATTCTATTTTAAATGCGATACCGCAGAGACAGTAAATTATACGGTATAATATATATGTACTTGTCCGTGGATACTATGCTGTATATTGTATAATATGTATATATATATATCATTATAATATAGGTATTGTATATACTATAATATATACTGTAGGTATATTATACATATAATATATTGTATATTTGTATACGAATATTGTACCATGAAGACTAGGTATAGAATTGTAAGGAGACCAAATCATAAAGTAATAAGAATAAAGAGATGAGAGCACAGATATCTACTATACCTACTTATCTACAATTATTCTAGATACCCGAATCCTCGGATTATTATACATCACTCAAATATAAAATATCGTTGGTCGCCATAGGTAATCGAAATAAAAATTCCCGGCCCTAGGAAAAAAAATCCCCAGTCTACAATATTACTTACAAGTTACAACCACACGAAAATGATTGAACAATAATTTTTAATAATATTTTGTTTTATATTACAATATTATTTTAAAGATTATACAATAAAAAAATAAAAATAATTATCAAATAATAGTTTGAATATAGGTAGGTACCTCCTTAGGTAGGTACTCACAGCTAAAAATAAAGCATTTACAAATATTTCAAATAGGTAATCGATAAATCGAATAATACAAATAATAATAATAATTAAATTATAAATTACAGTCAAACAATAGTTAATAAATGCATTTACTCACAGTATTGATAATTTTTAGACTGTTGTCAGTTTCCTTATATTGTGGCTATAAAAAAATCAGGAAAATGTTATAGGAAACGTAATATTTTGCTATAATTTTACTAAAAGTATACATCGTTGTAATTAAATATTAATAGGTAATGTGTTGATTACGCTAATTGGTATTTAAAAAATATTAATTGTCCAATCATTTTCATGTGGTTGTAAGCAAAATTGTAGTCGGGCGACTTTTTTTTTCATAAGATCTGGGATTTTTATTCCATAATTATCGGCATAATAAGGAAATAGAGCAATGTTTACAAACTGACATAATCAATTCAAGTGATAAGTGATGAACAAACGTTTACAATAAAATTATTACCGAATACTAATTACTGAGCCAGTAGCTGAAGCTGACCGAAAAACAAATAAGTATGCTTAAATAGGTATAAATACTGTATTACTTATATAGTATTAATACTTTGGTTTATCATTCATTTGTTTATTAGATACATGTTATGTTATGTATGTGGTACTGTGCTTTAGTAGTGTAAATTTGTGTACGGATTGTTTAAAAGCAGGTTTAATTTGTCATTTGAATTGTAAGATATAGGTAACATAGTACCGGCTTCTGTTGTTCAGTAATTATATTGTATCGCTTGTGTGTGATATCTTGGAGATGGGTAAATATTAAGTATTATTCGCATGAGATGTAGAGTACCTATCGAGTATTTTCGTATACTTCTATTGTACTATAAAATTGAATGAATGAAGATAAGGTTGACATTTTATGTGTACTTATTGGCTATTTTATATCATATGAATAGGTAGATTGTAAGTACCTATATTGATTGTTAAAAGGAAGATCGGCGTAAGCTCCAATATCTAAATTGTTTAGGAGAGCAAAACAACATAATATTTATCATAAATAGGTAGCATTACTTGATATAAAACATTATGGGCTATTCAATTGTTCATTGATTAAGCGATTGTTAATAACTATAGTCAGTTAATAAAAAAAAGTATTTTATGTGCTTTGTGGAATTCACACCCCAAAATGTTCTATTTGATTTATAGTTTAAAACTGTTGATTTCAACAATGATTGATAGTGTAAGTATTTCAAAAATGATTTAAATAAATTATATATATTTTTCCCAAAGTTAATAATATATCATCTTGTATCTAAGATAATTATAACAAGAATTACAATGAACAGAGTTTTGGTGGACCAGTGAAGTAAAATAAGCATTCTATATCATACAATTTTTTAAAAACATACTCACAGATATCTGTAGACAAAGCTTTATTCTTTAGTTGTTAATTATTTTAAAAATAAAAACAGTTATAAATTATAATAAGTAGAATAATAGTCATAATTTATTGTAACAATGTCAATCAGTACTAAACATTTTTTTTAAAATTAATTTTAAACATAAGACATTCCTAGCCTAAGGCTACCTATATCTAGTGATGTTTGACAACATACATATTAGTTTTAACAGATTAACATGATAATTAAAAATATTTTTAAGTACTATGGATAATTTACAGTTGGTAATTTTAGATGTACAGAAGTAATGTGACAATAATATTCTTATAGATATGGTATGAATGGTCGGAAGATATAAGATGATTGTGTTGATTTAATTAAGGAGTGGGAGTGATGGAGAATGGGATTTTGTTTATTAGGCATGTTAGAGTAGCTAGGAGGGGGTTAAGACTAATTTTAATTCGTTAAGGAAATTGGTGACGATTTGCAAAGGTTGATCCGGTGGTGGTGTGTTTGCTGTGGCTTTAGTATGTAAGGGGCTTTTTTTTGAGTTTGAGCTTAGCCCGTCATTTCCTCTTCTGTGAGGTGCAGGTGATACAGCATGTGTTTGAATATGTTGATGAGTTGTTTCTTACATTCTGGTTTTGGATTTGATGTGGCGGTTAAGTGGCTTGATATTATTTTAAAGGTTTGGCATCCTTTATAATTGATAGTTTGGTTTCCCCCACAGTTAGCACATTTTGCTAGTTCCTCCAGAGTATTAAACATATAACAAGTAATACTACCATAATATTATATAATAGTAATATAGTATATATTAAGCATTATTTAAAGGATTTCCTATTTATTTTAATGTGTGTTGCCTAAGTGAGTCCTCTATCTAGATACATCCCAAGATATTATACAAACTGTTCAGTTGGTATTTGTTTGTTGTTGATATAGACTGGAGGGCAGTCACGAGAGCTTAATAAAAAGTTATGTAAGAGGATTTTAACTCGTTGATTTTTATTTTCATTTGAAGAATCAAGTTTTTAGTTCGATTAGATGTTTTTGGAGATAAAAGAATGCTGTTTCATGACTTGGATCGAATGCCATTATGCCAGTATCATCAATAAAAACGTCTTAAGTTATGAAGATTGGCTGTAACATCAGGATAGACTTGATATAATGAAGTTTCCAAATCATATCATAAATACTTTTGTTTTATTTCATATAAATTTAAAATTGTATTGATGGAATTTTAATTTTTAGGGCTTTTTAAGGTTCCAACTGATTTACACATGTACAAGCAGTGCACAAGATCTGTCCTCTATATAATAAATTATATTTTTTTGTATGAGCACAAACAATTTATCTACTATTGTTCCACTGTATAGGTAGTTCCTTAATTGCATTCATTAATAATATAATAAATGATTTTCAATACTATGAAAATGAATTGATTTATTTTAACATGTTGCCTTATTAATCATTATACAGTTACACACCCAAAATAATAGAACAACATACCAGGAGCAAATGTTTGGAAGATACTAATAGTCCAGGTGTGATTTTATTTACAGAAAAAAATATCATTGACAACACTCATTGTGTAATGTGTGACTAACCTAACTAACCTAATCATGAATTACTTTCTGAAAGGGCCCCCAGAGTTAATAATGCACAGGACCCCTATTTCTCAAAATCAGAGACTAGAGGCCCTGTATATGATCAGTTCAGAGTCAATAATTATTCATCAATAAATACCAAAATGGTTTTGATATTTTCAATATATTTAACACTCCTTCAATATCATTAACACACGATCAATAATAATATATTAAAACAATAAAATTGATTGTGTATAGTAACTACTTATTAATTATAACTATATATAGTTCGCGCAACGAAAACCCCCGTCACCCGCTCGCCATATACCGGTGGATAGTCATGGACTTTCAAACAGCGCCGAGTCGCTGCTATGTTTACACAAAAGGTGCACGTCATGTGTTTTTATACAATATATTGAAATAATGTTTCACATTAATCATCTTTTAAACCATTTTCTCTCATGGTTCGTATAATAATAAATGAATATAATATTCCTTGTGAGTTGTGAATAAATTAATTTAAAAAAAACGCGGCAATTACTTTTATATGTGTATGATGACCTCTGATTGGAAAGGCCGCTAGTCACGCCGGTCACCAGCCAGTTTTCGTTCATTATAAATATTATTTATTACTTATTTAGTATCACTATAACTATTGTTATCTAAAATAATAACATAGAACGTTGTGCCATGTAGCTTGGTATGTATTTGGTAATAGATACACGTGACGATGAAAATAGCATCAGTACCATTATAGACCTTGTACTAAGTATGTGCTGAAATATGATTTCCACCTTTATATTGTTATTACTCTACGGGCCAAACCCCGCTTCGATAACTTCCAGAAATGAACAGTACGATTAAACGGCCACAGGCTGCACTGCACTGCACTAGGGTTGCTACTTTAACCCAAGTAGGTAGTATACTATTCATGTTTTTTTGAAAATATATGCATTATTTTGAACCATGAACCTTTTTAAATTGCATAGCTTGTACAATAGATTACCCATTTATACATGTACATATGTGTATATTTCATAAACATTCAACATTCAAACAAATTTGAGAGTAACGAACAACGAGGGCTCAGATTTACTGTGATCACATACATTAAATAGCTATAAAATAACTATATATAGTGTTAACTTATTGTATGATTTGATAATTCACACAATAATAGAAAAATGTAGGCCGTAAGGTATTAGTTGAAGAAATGTTCAAACTAACGCAAGAATGCTTGTTTAAACAGTCGATTTCCATGTTTTCGCAGATTTGACAACCATAGAGTAGGAATATTAACCCGGTGGCTTTTACACCCTCCATGCGGAGCATCCCAAATCTGTTCTGTCTCGTCTACGTTGCCACCGGGCCGAGGTGCTGGTTGTCACTTGTCGATTGTTGTTTTCTGAACGGTCTGGCCGGACGCACGTTACTTGTCCTCCAGTCTCCACCGTTGTTGCGTGCCACCCGAAACCGAATGGTTTTTGTTGTTGCTTATACGATTACTGCCGTCGAGTAAAATATGTATAACGTACTAATACGTCCTACAGTTTTAGTCTCATTTAGATCGACCTCGGTCCCGTGGTTGTAGCCAACCCGATTTGAGTCTCCACCGTACTGACTAATTCCGTGGTATTCCCATTCACATTGCCCCTCCCCGTCGTAGCAGTTGTGTGGGCGAAGTCTGTATCCAACGTCTTGAACCGCTGGTCGACAGTTCCGTCGTCATATTCAGGTTCAGTTGATGTTTGTAATTTTTTTTTGCTATTCATATGCGTAGCTGATGTAACGGAGCGTTTTATCACGCTGTTCCGATGTGCAACAAAATTCTTTAGTTTGTGGAATTCGAATGGAAAGTTTGGCGGTTTATATACTGTTGTGACCAGTGGCGGCGGGATATAATACTATTTGAAGCAATTGCTTCATGTCTAATATATGTGGGTGCCGGTGGTATCGTTGTACCACCACTAACACCTCAATACCATTACTGTCGTAACAAATATGATAATAATTAACATAGTAAATTATCATTTTGATGTAATAAAGGGGATGGTTGGTGGTAAAAAGATTAAAAATGTACAATTTGCTTCTAAGACTCAAAAAGTTCCCGCCACCACTGGTTGTGACTGTGTATTTTTTTTGGTCGATCGTTATGACGTCTATATCATTTACTTCTGCCATCTCCGTGGATTTTATTCCTATTGAGAGTTTAATGCTATGAGCTTCATTTCATTTCTCTTAGGCGTTTTTGATTCGTTGTTGAATATGAAGTTTCCTTGCATAATTGCACTAGGATATCTTCATTATTGGGTGATATTCCTTCGATATGGATTGAAATCGTTGTAAGGGACAGTGAAAAGGGCCGTTGTAGGTTCTGGTTATTCTGATACTCTTTTACTCTAATATATAGTATATTGTATTATTTATTTACTCTTTAAATAAATATGCTGTAATACAATTTTAACTACTTACTGAAAATTGATAAAAGTTATATAAATTGTTTGAACATTGTTTTTTTAATAATATTTGATATATTTTCATAAGCAAAAGAAATGGATTCCTCACAGACTTCATCTTGTGAAAGCGATTTAAAGCAAGTTATGAAGTCTGAAGAATGTGCATGGACAAATTTTAGAAATACCTCTCACTCTGTTAGAATACTACAAGGCTTACAATTTCTACTCAAGTATGTTTAAAGCAATTTTAGCTTCATTAAAAATAAATATTAATAATACATTTTTGTTTTAGAAATGAAGCTTTATGTGATATTAAATTCAAAACAGATGATGGATGTATAACATTTGGTCATAAAAATGTTTTAATGGCAGCTAGTCCATATTTCCATGCAATGTTCAGTAACTATTTTAATGAGAACAAAAACGATTTTGTTAGTCTAAGAAAATTAGATTCCAATGTTTTACAGCTATTAATAGATTATATCTATACTGGGGAAATCTTGGTAACAAAAAAAAATGTACAGGTATAATTAAAATTTGATTTGTTAAAGACTAATAAAAAATGGTTTTAAACGTATTATTAATAATTTCTCAAGGTTTTGTTACCAGCTGCAAACTACTTGCAGTTAGACTTTGTAACCAATGCATGTGTTGATTTTTTACAAAAACAACTGGATGTATCAAATTGTCTTGATATCAGAGTGTTTGCTGACTTACATAACTGTACGGAATTGTTATCAAGTTCTGAAACATTCATAAAAAAAAAGTTTTTGTATGATATAATTAACTTAGTTCTCCATATTTTTTAGTAATAAATTATGTATAAAATGACAATTATTTTTAGAGATGTGGTTAAAGGTGATGAATTCCTATTCTTGTCTTCTGAAGATGTGATTAAGATTATCTCCTATAATGACCTTGCTGTTACATTTGAAGAAAAAGTAAGCTAGTAATTATTGTTTTATTGAAAATCAACAAACACAAGAGCTAACATATAAATTTAATATAATATTATACAATATTTATTTTATAGTTGTGGTTTGAAGGCAGTTTAATTGTCTATTCTTAAATACTCAACCACAAAAAAATATAAGTTATCTTATGAATGAAATTTATAAACAGTAATCTATGAATAAGTATATACACCAGACAATTAAAAAAAAAATAGGTATTATGTTAATCAATCACATAGCCACAAACATAATACCTATTTTTTTTAAATTAAATTAATCACTATAATCAATAATATGTGGCTATTAATAATGAAATGTGGAAAATGAGCAATGCTCTCTTAGACATAAGGTGTCTAGAGAAGTAACTGTAATGAATGTGTTAAATTTGAATTCAATGATCAAAATCACTCAATTCAAAAAACTGTTCTGAACATAAATGGTTTAAATTTTCGATTGTTTTTTCTGTCACTTTTGAAAACTATGAGGAACTTGTTATTTTATACCTTCTCTCCCCGATGTTATTTATTTATTTACCTACTAGATTCACTTTTCTACCAGAAAAGATTATGTAGTAGAAAATCGAAACATATTAACTGCCCCAAAAAGAAATAACAGACACAAACAAAAAAAACATATCATTGTACAACCAATACATTCACCGCTCTGCTTACAATATAAAATATTAAGCTAAATTAAATAAAACAACCTTTAAAAAGTCTTAATAATATTTCGATGTTAATTCTATGATGGATTCTGTATACAGAATGGTATCAAAGTATTGAAACTATTAAAAATAAATTTAATACCATTCATATATAATAAATATTCCTTACCTTGCTATAAAGAAATAAAACCCAAGGTAAAATAAAAAATGGATGGAATCGAAAAAGATCTTAAATATAAACTTTTCATAATATTTGTTTATGCAGGTATTTGAATCTGTTATTAAATGGGTAAACCATGATTTGGATTTAAGAAAAGATTTTTTGCCAGACTTAATGGAACATGTAAGATTGCCACTAATAAATCTTGACACATTATTTACTATATCTGAAGAACCTCTTCTAAATACAAATCCTAAATGTATGTTATTTTCATAAATATGAAATCATTATGAATTTATATATTTCATCAACTATTATTATCATGTTTTTAGGTAAAGACTATTTATTTGAAGCAGTATCTTTTAATCTTCGAATTGCCATTCCACAAACGATAAGATGTAAACCTAGACAGTTTGGTGGTTCACAAAAGGTATGATTCTGATTGAATAAATATATTTTCACAATTATTTTTACCATTTAATTTTTTCAGGTAATTTTAATGTTCAAATTCTCATGTTTATCACCAAAATGTACAACAGAATGGTATGACCTAGCAACTAAAATACGGAAAAATGGACCAGAGATAAATGATTGTCATAAGAATGCTCGTTTTGTCGTAATAAGAAATCAGTGGGTGTTTGCTTTGGGAGGTGTGAATCAATCTGTTAGTTTGCTTAATTTATCCTCACAATCACACTGTTGGGTACCAATGACTGACATGTTAGTTGTTCGAAGAATTTTTGGAGTTTGTGTATTGGATGATTGTATATATGTAGTAAGTTATATTAATATATTACTTAGTGTAATATATTATACTTCTATACATTATTTTCAATTCTAGGTTGGTGGAAGTGATGGCCTCAGCGCTTGTAATAGTGTAGAGGTATTTGATATCAGTAAACAAAAATGGCGAATGGTGTCGAGTATGTTAATTGCAAGAAGATCTTTGGGTGTTGGTGTGCTCAATAATTGTTTATATGCGGTGAATAATCATATTTTTTCAATATTTTAAATTTGTAATACATTTAATTAAATTTAATTGTGTAGGTTGGAGGTGCTAATAGTGTATTTATGCTGAAATCTGTTGAACGTTATGATCTCAGACTTGATGAATGGACACCAGTTCCAGAAATGTCTGTATGTCGCAGTGGTCCCGGTATAGCAGTCTTGGACGGTGTCATGTATGTTATTGGTGGTTTTGATGGATTAGTGAATCTTAAAAGTGCTGAAATCTATAGACCCGATGATGAAGTTTGGACTTCTATTTCTGATATGCATGTGCCTCGACGTTGGCCAGGTGACTAAAATTATTATTTTTTGTATTAGCTTTAGAAATATATTGAATTTAAATTACATTTTTATATAGTTGTCGTCACATTAGATGGTTTATTGTATGTCATCGGTGGAGATAGTGAAGAAATTATTGAACCTATTGTTCAAACTGTAGAAATTTATGACCCTCGTACCAATACTTGGACGATGGACAAAATGTCAAGCCCTGGCTTACACATTTTTGGTGGTGTTGCCGTTGATAGACCACCACATGTTATAACTAATGAGAATACAATATAATGGTCTCATTGTTGGTCATTATGATGTACACAGAATTATGTGCAATTTATTGTGAAATGTATACTCAGGGCAGTTTGTTCTTTTACCTAAATATATAATGTATTACAAACACTGTTTTTCTTAGACATTTTAATTTTAAATATGGGCAAAATCTAATATTTTAACAAAAATAACAATTTTAATTATTTGGTTGTAGTTTATAAATAATATTTTTAGGAACTTGAAACTTTAAAAGTATTTCATTATATTTTATACTTATAAATAAAATTTTTAAGTGCAAAAAATAATTCACACTTTTCTACTGACTATTACTAAAAGTAAAATAACTTACTTGAATAGCAATTATATCATATAATATACAATATACATGCCTATAGGTTGATAGAACTTCTAGTTTATTATTAGATAAAATCGTTTTTTGTAACACCTTCACTCTTTAGTGATAATACCATTTAAATATTGAATTCAAATTTAATATATCTATTGACTATTACAGTGACCCATGCGAAATGTACAGCAGAGTGTTAGGTTATCCACTCACTCACCTTTTTTCATTTGTGATTTCAAACTGGCTTTACCAGTACTTATTAAAGTATATTGTATTGAACATTTGAACAATAAATTATATGATATAATAGTCCTAATAGTGTATGTATTATAATATAGTACATACATTATTATTGTATAGCATATGTGTGATTTGTAAGATTTGTTAAAGTTATACTTTGTTTTCTATGAATATTGTCAAATACAAACATTTTGTTTCCACTATGAATTACTTACGTTTATTGTTTTAAATGTTCAATCCTTAAAGTTAAAAAAAAGTTAAAATTGAATATTTCATACATTTTTAACATGTAAACATAATATTTTCGAACTGCTAATGTAACAATGTATGAGTAGCCTTGTAATACATTTTCAAGCTTTTTCACAAAACAATGTTTTTGGCATTTATAGAAAAAGAAATTGAGTTAATTTGAATAAATATCCAATGTTACAAAATCTAAACCTTGTGTAAATGTTATTTGATTGTCCGGTTGATATTCTGTTTGTTGAAAAAAAGTAGACGACTTATGGGGAATCTTATAATCAATTTTCAAATCTTAGATTTAAAAATGAAAATTTTTATGAATTTCCAACTGATTTACATTAAAAATGGTTCTAATGAATTTTGCCAAAAGTTTTGCTATAAGTTTTAACGATCATAAAAATGTGGAAAATATAAAATTGTGGATTTACCCTCAGCTCTTTTTTTATCTCCACTCAAAACTTATGAGGAACCTCGTATTCAATTTCCAAGTTTTTTTGACTTAGCAAAGAATTTTTTTCCGACATTAACTTTAAAAGAAACTTTAAAAAATCTGAATTTTCTTATGTCTACGAATAACTTAAGGTTAGGTTAAAATATTTTGAGCATTTTGTGGTGTTAAGAAAATACTATTATTAACATTCGGTGAACATTTAATATACCTACGATTATTTTTTTTAGTGTTACACCAAAAACCACAATCGTTTTTTTTTTGGAAATTGATTTTGCGTTAAGACTTCCGTTTTTCCTGACGCATTTGAAAACTACAGAGAATTTAAATTCTGCACAAAAACGTTTTGTCGTCCTAGCATACTTACTGAATAATCAAATTTATTAGTAAAAAAAATTAATAAAATTCGGAAATATAGCTTTTTTTTGTTTAAGGTAAATTTGTGGGGGAATCTTCTACCAAAATTTCTAATACTAGACATTGAAAGAAAAACTTATGCATTTCTTACTAAAAAATAATTTGAAAATATTCGAGATGTTGATGAAGTTTGTCAACATTTTAGCTTTAAATGTATATTAAAATAACCGTGCAAATATATCTTTAATATTTTTTAACATTATTATTAATAAACTTATAAGAAATCTTGCATTACATTTTTAAACTTTTTTACTAATTAAAAAAAAAAATTAAAAATGTGGAAAATTTCTGGAGGCTATAATTATCTTAAAAAGAGTCAAAATATACCATTTATGGAAAATGCTAATTCAAACGTTTGGGGAAAATTTTAAGGGTTAACAGTTATTAGTTTTTTAGTTACACCCAAATAAAATCGATTTTTTCGAGAATTGGTTTTGCGTAAAAATTACCACTTTTTTCTTTACTGACGCTTTCTAAAACTACTGACAATTTTTACATATCAAATGTACTAGCTAGATTCACTTTTCCGTAAAAAAAGATGATGATGTAAACATTTGGAGGTATCTCCCCACGGACAGAAAAAAAACGCAGAATCTAAAATTAAATATATACTAATATTCTGTTTGGGGAATATAATATGTATATGGAAATATGGTGTAATCCAAATAAATAATAATTGATTCAAAAATATTAAAAAAATTCAATATGTATTTTAATATTGTGGTATACAGGATCACTTTTTAAGCATGCCCATCCTATTTGTATGCTTGAATTATGTGTATATTAAAATTCAGATTTTTGGAATTTTTAAATGCACTTGAAGACCTTTTTTCGAATCATTGAAATTTTTTGTACCACTTAAGGATGATCCTGTGACAATACAAACTTCAGTTTTTCAAATAGGAATCTCTTTTTCATTTTTCATTATTAAGCAGATATTTCTTTTGAGAATTTTGATGTATCTAAATCAAAATTCAAGTTAAACATTTTTGAAGTATGAAACTTTGTGTTTGAAGGATAATACGTCTATGTGGTAATGGCCAATGGGTTAAGTAGATAGGGGGCTTACACGATTTAAAAAAGTTAGCAATTACTATTGGACATTGGCTTATCCGTATAAATAATTTGCATAAATAATCCAAGTATAAAAATAGTTAGTTTGATCAAATTCTCGAATACACGACCTCGAGAGCCCTCCGATGATCAGGACGAAGGTAATAACGTAAATTGTGATAATTTTAAATATAAGTATTGGCAGGCGTATTTATATTTACGATTATTCTTATATTTTTTTATATTTTTGTTTATTCTATTTTTGCGTTGCGTTATTTCGTTATTACAGTGCAAACCCTGTGCACTCGTCTATAAGCTGCGCATTTATGCACATATAGAAATTAAAGCTGCAAATTCCAGTGTGCTGGTAATATAATGTAGGTACCTATCTGATTTTAATTGAGAAATACAACAAAATTTGTTTTAAAACTCATGTGTTAATCAGAGACGAACGAACGAAAAATAGTAAGGTGGTAGGGTGGTAAGGTTTGAAAAAAATGTCATAATCTGAATATTGTTGAAATTAATGACAGGTAAGTACATCGTAGATAAGTACATTATTACGGGTATTATTGATATTTCATGGAGAGGTTTACGGTTAACCCTTCACGGCGAAACGGTCATGTCCGGGGTCGAAATAATCCACATCAAACTTCCATTTATACCTTTTGTAAAATCATTTTTATTTTAAATATTATGATACAAGCTAAAATAAAAAGTTGAAGGTCAATGGAGGTGGCTTTAGCCCCCTTTACTATTCCCCCCTGAATACGCCTCTGTAGGCATAGTTGGGCAGTATCTTCTTTACAAGTATCTAAGATAGTATAAATCCATAATTTAATTGCAGTACAACTTGTACAAAATTATTTTTCAACCAATTAGCCATATTAAGTTATCTCTGTGTACTGTGACGCACCACACATACACGTTGAATGGGACTTTACGTCTTTACCATACGTTTTTTGTCGTGTCATATACAATTCGATTTGATATCTATAATTTATTTTCATTATTATTTACTGATGTATTTAACAATTGACTTATTATGATATATTTATACTTAATTAATATTTGAAATCTTATATTATCTTATATTTTAATAACCTTTGAAATGTATTCAACGTTTTTTGTCGTGTCATATTATACTATTCAGTATTCGATATGATAATATCTATAATTTATTTTTATTATTATTTATTTATTTAATTTAACGATTGACTTATTATAATGTATTTATACTTAACTAATATTTGGAAATTTAAAGTTAAATGCATTTGTCTAGATTCACAACCTACCTAAATGTGTATAAATAAAATTTTAAAAATATCCTATGCGTCGTAGCCTATGACTAATTTTTTCAAATGTATCGAGTATCGAGTATCTAAATATTTTAAATGTAAGTATCGAGTATCTCGTATCGCGATACTGATTTTTGAGTATCTTGCCCATCCCTGTCTGTAGGTAGGTACCTATTAAACTCCTCACTTCCCAGGCTGATAGAATTATAGAAACAATTTATTTTAGGTACCAACAATAATACAAATAATAATAATACACTCATACATATGTAACGATTGTTTTGTTACACATATATGATATACCTATGCATAATACATATTGTATACGTTTAATCTCTGATGTTGGATCGTAGGAACTTTTCATAATATATTCCCATATATTATTATGTTCAGAAAAACAAGTGCTATCTACAATCTTCAGTTAGACAATTCTGATAAAAGGAAAATATTAAGTCGCTGTACAGGTGACAGGTCACATAAAATAAATATATAATACACATTATTATATACGTTTATTCTCTGATGTTGGATCGTAGGATCTTGTCGTAATATATTCCCATATATTATTATGTTTAGAAAAACGAGTGCTATCTACCATCTCCCATTAGAAAATTATGTTAAAAGTAAAATATTATGTCGGCTACACATTCGTACAGTGGCGCGTAATTTTCGTGAATTTATTCTTTCATCGTATTATTTTCTTATGTTTTAATTTCCCGTTTTTGTCATTCCTTTAAATAACTTTCCTCGATTTTATATCCCTTCATTCGTAATATTATTATGACGGCCCGATTTGGATTATAACCACGGCTATAGATACAATATAGTATTAGTGTATACTATAGATACAATATAGTATTAGTGTATACTATAGATACAATATAGTATTAGTGTATACTATAGATACAATATAGTATTAGTGTATACTATATAGTATATCATGGCTTAAATATACAAGGTTATTGCACATAGCCAAATTGTTATCAAATAAAAATAAAATGGCAGCGTAAGGGTACGGTCCATATCATAGGATATAATATCATAATATAGCCAGTATACGTCGTCCCCTTACGCTGCCATTTTAATTCCTTAACGTGATAAAATGATATAGTGGGGGTACTATTGCAATAACCTTGTATATTTAAGCCATGTAGTATATATAGTATCAGCGCCGGAGGGAAGTTTTGAGGGGCCCAGGGGCAAATTTTTTTCATAGGGCCAAGAAACCTTTTTTCGTGAGGCAAAAAAAATTTCTAGCACGTCCTAGTACTTAGGTAGGTACTCGTAAGAATTTTTTCAATATTTATTAAAATAAAATACGTACAAATTAAATGTTTAGGAAAACCAAATACACTAAATACAAGTGTTACACAAAAGTCAAAAAAAAAATTCAAGATTTTAACATCAAAATTGTTGTGGACGTCGCCGTCGCTCGTTGGCATTATGATTTATTTTTACTCTCACTCGTCTATTACAGCCTACAGGTATTCCAATAATTTTATTAAAAACTCACAAGCCACCACTGAAGACGGGACTTGTATTTTTAATTCGAAAAACAAAATTATTGGCTTAATCAAATGCCACGAAAATCGCGGGGCCCCTAAAATGGTAGGCTGCCCCTTCTGCCCTGCCCCTCCTTCGGCGCTGTATACTATATATAGTATCTCTAGCCGTGATTATAACTCGCGAATATAAAGTCCTGTAGCCCTGTTGTAGGTCTGAGGTGTTAAAAGTCCAGCGATATCGAATTTAATAGTTATTTAAAATACCTTCTCTAAATATATACAATAAATTACACATTTATTTCGCGGTATGAAATGATGAAAATATTCATATTTTTTTTTTTTTCATCACTTGGAATTTTCAGTTTTAAATTCCATTCTAATATTATGTGTAATTCTAAAAATACACTGATACCGCAGCGGCGGCGGCAGTGTAGAATGTCGAATATTGTCGATATCGAATTTCCTTGATGAATGATAATGATATGATTTTTTAGCAGCAGCTGTTCAAAGGTGGCGGCGGCGGCGGCGGCGGCGGCTCTATCGTCGTAGTATGTTTTTATCGCACGATGACACGAAAAAAAAAACATATTGCGTCTTAGAACATTGGACTGAGCATGCGCGCTGGCTGGCGATAGTTTGACATCATCTTTTGTCGCTTTTCTCGGAATAATGATCGACCGCCGCCGCCGCGCTAGTTGCGGGAGATGATGATAGTAATAAATGATAGTAACAATAATGCCGTAACAGAACGCGCCATAACACCGAAACGGCTGTTGTGTTTTCTTGTGCGTCGTGACTGCCGTTGTGCTCAATAGCGAATCACATTTTTTGTTCCCTTTCAGGTTATTTCGTTTTCTCGCCCCGTTCGGCTTTTGTGAGCTCGTACCAGTTTCGGAGGCTTATGAGTTATGGACGTCGATAATACACCGGCACCCGAAGGTATGGAAACCGCCGAACATGTTCGTTTCATTTTCGGCCTACTGGACAGTATAAATAAGCGCATCGACGTGAAATTACCGGCTGGTACGTGTATATTACATTATTATTATTATTATTATTGCTATTATTGTTTTAATTTTATCGTTCTTATTATTATGTGTATACTTAGTAGGTAAAATCTTTGAGCGACTCCAACATTGATCCTTCGCCTTTTTATCTGTCGACTGTGCCATTTTGATTTTAACATGAACGCTAGATTGGTAGGTACGAATTCTAACTGAAATTGTTTTTCAAATGAATTTCGTTCGCATTATGTCCATCAATAACACATTATTAATCACCATATTTCACCAAGTCGAATTTCTGAAACATTAGCCCATGAATAATTCATTCATTTGGAATTTAGAGTATGTATTATATATTATACGACTAATAATCAAATTTACCTTTACTATTCCTGTCTTATTATTTCTAATACCTACTACAAACCTCCAACGTATTGTCGGCTTATGCATCTTATGTACTTAATTTAATGTTAGCAATAGTTAAAATGTATATGCTTGAGTGTTATCCACCAGTAAGTAGGTACATCATTTTTTTACTGTGTGAATATATATAATATGATTATTGCTAAATCTTATGGAGCTGTTAACTAACTTAGTCACTAAAAGTTAAATACAGAACATAATTAATCTACTATAAAGATTTATGTTAGAAATGAACTGTAGAGCTGGAAAACGGTGTCATCAATTTTATGTATTTGTAATGATCAACTAGAATATTAATTAGTTATTATGTATAAGAAACAATTAAAATGTTTCTAAGCGTATCGTATAGGTAATAAAAGTTCTATTTTAAAAAATATTTAATAAGCTAGCATTGACAACTACTTTATTGGCACGTCTATCAGCAATAATGACACGTATTAATATTTTTTAGTATTTTATTTTGAACACTGTAGAAAATGCATTCTCTTAGCACTATTTTTAAACTACAGTAGACGCCGCTTATAAGACTCACGGATATAAGGTTCAGTCGCTTATTAGACTCAAAATCGTCTGGAAAGGACCGAACGTATCAAAATACATTAAAAAAAAATCGGGTATAAGACTCAACGCTTCGGTTATAAGACTCAAATTTCGTGAAATAAATAGTAGAAAATAAACTTTTTTGGTTAAAATTTAGAAATAGATTGGTATTGAAAAATTAAATAATATTCGTGTTGATTAATCCTAGTTTCTGTTGTACCTTATAACGTATAATAATTTTTATCGCAGATAAAAGTTCACATTTATCGCAACGATTATCGTTATTATAGTGAGGTATCTGATTATCTGGCGGCTGCACAGTTATCGCAATTATGGGTACATAAATACACATACGTATATGCCATACGTAACCTTTATAATTTTTTATTAATGTATAATTTTTATAATATTTTTATATGTAATATTTACCTATTATAATTTTAGTTTTTTTATCAGGATTATTAAATTTATTCAATAATAAAGTATACAATATGTAATATGTGTTAAAGTATTAAAATCAAAGCAAAATATGTAGTAAAATAAAATTTATAAATACGTAATTAATTTTTTTTTCCACTTCGCCTATAAGATTCATTCGGTTATAAGACTCACTTTGTGCTGGTCCCAAAGTGAGTCTTATAAGCGGCGTATACTGTATTAATTATCAATTATAATCAACACAAAATATGAAAAAGTAAAAGAAGTGTCATTTATAAGGGATAAAGGTTCAGTGTACTCCATTCTAATAGAAATTCAAAATGAAATACATTGATTGCATATTAGGATTATCTTTCTATCCCTTCAAAACAAAAATAATACGTTTTTAAACCCAAACATCATCTTATTGGGTATATTTTATTTCTGAAATTTTCTGCTCCTACAGTTTGATTTTGAAATGTTACTTATCTATGGTTGTCTTGAGGTTATGTATGTAAAGGTCATACAAAAAAATTAAGTGAGGATTTATAATCTGTTTAAAATTTAATTATATTTTTTGTTGTATACAAATATGATATACATTATTTATCAATTTATGATTATTAATTATCATTACATTTTAAAATGATACTTTAACCCATGTCCTAACCCTAAGCTGTGTTCACACTAGTTCATATTGTGTTATTATAAAGTTTATGGTATTGAAGTTTCAGCTGTTGCATGTAATATATTACCAATTATTAATTAACATGTGTAATATGATACTTGACTGGCTAGTTTTAAATCACATTATCCCACACAGAAATGAATGATTACCCTGGATATTAGAATACCTTATAGTATACATTTGACATGATCTATACTTGCATGTGTGCAGTGCACTCCTCCTCCTTGGTTTTTGAAAAAAAAAATGGTACTGGTCTAGTTGGCCCCCGCCAGGAAGGCAATTCCCCTGCCACTAATGTATAATATACTGATATACTGCAGAGTGCAGATAAAAAAGGTACGAAATCATATACGTTAGGTATTTGTGTGAAATTCTCTAATTAGATATTTTAAGAATTATATTTGGTAAAATCCGTGTGATAAAATGAATTATATAAGATAGGTATAACAGCGGGTGCTGTATATAATATTATGAAGTACCTACCTCAGTTATTCAGTTGTTGTCATCTGAACAAAAAGAAAATGAATTTCCGACAAATTTATAGTGACGTGCATGATGTTTCATGGGCAATAATTTTTTTGCAAAACCAAAATATTATCCATAAGACTAGGACTTGTGACAGTGGACACGAAATGGTTTTGGATACACAAAGGGGTCGGTGGCGATGTCATTTAAGATCATGTCGAGCAGAAAAAGGTCTCAAGACCAATAATTGGATACAAAATGTCAAGGTAAAGTTGCGAACTATTGTTCACTTCATTTATGGTTGGGCTCATGAACTGACATCAGTGGACTTTTGCAAACGTGAATTTGGAATGAGCAAATCTACTGTAGTAGATTGGAATAATTTTATGAGGGAAGTTTGTATATGGAATATTTCTCAAGGTGATTCCAAAATGGGAGGTGTTGGTTGTATTGTCGAGATTGACGAAAGTTTATTTGTTAGACGCAAAAATAATGCTAGTCGAATACTGCCACAGCAATGGGTATTTGGTGGCATATGTCGTGAGACCAATGAGTGTTTTGTCGCGTGTGTACCCGATCGGTCGGAAAATACATTATTGCCAATAATTTGCGAACGTATACGAGTTGGATCGACCATTATATCTGATTCCTGGCGAGCCTATAATAATATACAACAAACCGGCCATTATACACATTCAACAGTAAACCACAAATATAATTTTGTGGATCCTATAAGTGGAGCTCATACACAGAATGTTGAGAGGATGTAGGGAAGTGCTAAATGGGGCAACAAGAAATGTAGAGGGACTAAGAGAAACTTCCTAGATTCTTATTTGTCAGAATTTATGTGGCGGAGTAAATTAAACGGCCGGGATCCATTTAAAGAAATTTTGAAGGATATAGCAGAATTTTGGCCACCCGCATAATTTTTATTATTATTTTTTATTTTTATTTATTATTACCATATTTTTTATATATTTTTATTTTGATCGCTTGAATTGTTATGTATAATCATAAATGTATAATTTTTAATAAATGTATCGTACATTTTTATTTAAATTATTAGTTATCGAAAATACAAAATGTAAGTGGCGGGGGAATTGCCTTCCTGGAAGGGGTTAACTAGAGCAGTACCAAAAAATTGTGGTATTGAAATTATTTATTTTACATAATTGTGATTTATGGAAGGCCTAGGACTTGAAACTATCTTTCTTTTGGAAAAAAATAGTGTCACTTACAATGTTACTCATTTTGTTAAGTAATTTTACAATGTGGAATTCGTTAAGTTCAAAAAACAATAAACAAATAAATGAAAGAACTAAAATAATATACACAGTAATATACGTACTCACAAAAGACAAGTCGATTCAGATTCTATTGTATAGAATATGTGACGTGTACATATTATATTCCGAGATATATTCGATGTATTAATCATTCACTTTGATCCTATGCGATAAGCTTATAAGTTGTCCTGTAGGATAAAGGCTTCTATAATTGTCATTATTTGATTGTCTAATAGTAGCCCTCAATTACTTTGTAGTCATTAAAAAAAAAAACTTTGTATTGTATAATTTGAAAATAATAATTCTACTTATTTAACTTAAATAATTTAAGAATTATTTAGAAATCAGCTTATACTATGCACAATCCACCACCCCCTTGACAAAATTCCTGGTGGTACCTATGCCGTATTGTAATATACCTAGATGTAAAATTGTTGACCAATAAAAGGTGATCAACAATCATTGGTTTTAACAAATCAATGTTTTTAACAGGATGTCTTTCCTACTACTTTTGGTAGTTAATGATTAACTGTGTCTGCTATTCGAGGAATTTATTATAGAGATAGTATACTTCCTATTATGTAAGTGAAAGACATAAATGTTTTAAAGCATTTTGAATGCGCTATTTTTGAAATACTATTTTAACAAAAAATTTCAGTTCCTCAAAATAAAGATAATATTAAAGGGATTCAAAATAATGAAAAACACATCAATTTTATATATAGAAAACCCCATTTGGTATGTCACTAAAATATTAACATTTTTTTTCTTTGAATAATAATTATTTTAGCCCCGAAATTGCATTATTTAGTAGCAGTAATTATATAATTAACATAACCAATATGCGTCAACATGTTTCTATTAATTTTTTATGTAATTTATTTAGTATGTAACAACCATCAATAGTAATAGTGTGAGGCAAGCTGTAAGGTACTTTGAGTTTATATTTAATTATTAAAATTTTGAAAATTGAAGTTGATTACAAGAGAAAAATAAAAATAACTATCCTTGTGTCACGAGAGAAAACACTTGTAGCTAGCGCTTCCAGATAACTGGGCTCAGTTGTTTCAAGGCTCCATTTGGAATGAATAAACAAGTTTTGGTATGTTAGGGTATGTGTTTTCCCCTGATAAAAAAGTATTCTAATCAAATTCTATAAAAAACTTGAAGATAATATTTTGTAATTTTTTAGAAAATAAAAAATGTAAATTGTATTATACTTGCATAAAATACAGCATTCAATATTTAATAATATATTACCCATTGTTTTTTTTCAGGTGTACTCCTTAGTATATCAGAAATTCAAATGCTAGTTGATGATCACATAAAATCAAAAAATTATAAATTCTCAGAACATGGCCAAAGAGTAATACATTTTATTCTATACTTAAACACTGAGATGCCACATTGTAATTGGGTTAAAGCAGATCCGCTGCTAGACCTCAAACAGTATATACATGGCAATACTCTTTCAAATAACCTATACCATAAACTCGTGGATATATTAAACTTAAAGCCATTTATATTCGAAGTTATAGCTTATACACCTTATAGTTTTTGCAGCGATTTAATTGATATTAGCTTAAATAAAATAAAAGCTATAGATGGACTTTCACAATTAGTTGATACTGAAAATCTAATTGTTTCTTTGATGAAAACTGTTAAACGTGGACCTATAAGATCTAATTCAGAAACTTATGTAGTCGACCACTTCAATCAAGCCATGTTAGTATTCGGCAAGGATAATTTGCCCCATGATATAAGAAGACTTGATTATGAAGATGAACAAAAAGAAATAACAAGATATAATGGGTTTCGGGTGAAAAGTATATTTAACATCTTTATTGAGATGATTAAATTTAGAAATGCTCCTGATCCTTACAAACTGTATCCATTATATACATTAAAATCATTACGTTCTTCTGTTCCATCAACAGATACTGGACATGTTATATTTAAAAAATGTTTTGATGTGGTGATGTATAAGTGTATGAATATGTGCAATTTCAGCATTGATACTTGGATTTCTTGGTATGAAGTGGAAGTTATTGAAGAGGACACCAATCTACAAGCATCCATTGGACATCTATGTTATGAATTATGTAGTTTGATAGATAATGGAACTATTAGTGAACCCTTATTAAAAGAATTCAGGCCAATTCTACGTAATATAGCCATAGAAAAGATTGACTTTAGTAATATTGATAACACTGACATTGATGCAATGGCTAAACGTGTAGAGAGTTCTTCCAAATTTCATCTCAACGGTTGGATAAAAAAAATGATCGAAAACCCTGATGTTTTCGTTCATAACCGCGCCATTCAAGTAATTGGCACCTACATAGACTGTGTTGATTACAATTGCTTCAAAGCCATCATTGATAGTAGTATGGCTTATCATAAAAATGGAGGAGTAGTGTCCGAAGCTGTAGGAAAAGTAATATTTAAAGGACTCAAACACTTGGATTTAGAAGATGCATCGTGTATTCTATGTCATGTTTTGATCCACTATGCCGATTGTACATTTTATTTATCAAAGGATTTTGATGAACAATTACTTTTTCTTGCAAATAATGAGTACAAAGAAAATGCTGATGCACTAGTAAGTTCTTCAAAATTATTGAAGAAAAGTATCAATAATTTCAATTTCTTTTTTTAATTATTTTATTAAAATGTTAACCATTTACAGGAATTATTAACGATATTAATTTGGCTTATTATACAACAACCAAGAAAAATGTTGAATTTATTAATATCGCAATACGTCACTGGTATTTATGGATTACCAGTCAAAGGATTTGAAGCTAAGAGATCATGCCTCCACCAAGGGTTGGTTAGTATTCATGCACACATGAACCGTTCTTATATTTACCAAGAATACATGAACTGGTTGTCTTTTGATTCAAATTTATCAGTAGATCAAAAGCATAATCTTCGTCAATGGGTATGTCTATTTTATTTTAGTTAGCTAAAAAATACTCTATGCAGGATAAGAGTGAGACTCACTTAGCAGACTAAAACTTGTAACAGTGCATCCTCTCCCATTCTCTTTCCACCTTAACTCTCAAGGGTATGTAAGATGGTGTCATAGACTATTGACAAGTTGGTCAACACAGTTGATTAACTGATAAAGACAAAACAGCTAGCCCGTTTCCTAGGCTCTCAAATTCTACGGATCAGTTCACTCTTATCTTGAATAGAGCATAACACATAATGTATTTAAAAGTAAAGCAAATACCTAATATATTTAAGTTGTAATTATTTGTTTAAACAGATTTTAGGAACTACCAAACATCTTCGTGTAATGAAACCAAAAGCATTTCTTACAAATGTCATATTTCCTCTTCTAAACCCTTCACCAAATTATGATCACATGCTGTATTTGGCTACTTTAACTAAAGTATGTTTATTATCTTTACAGTTAAAAATTAATTATTTTAAACATGTCATTTTTATAGATGATTTTGAATGAATGTCATATTATGACACTTCCCTACATAGAAGTCTGGGATAGACTACTTGTTCAATTGGCCAAAATATTGGATGATGCACGTTGGTCCATAAATAATTATTCAGCTGTTAGAGTCGAAATATGTGAAAAAATGATTGTAATTATACAGCCTCTTTTGCACTATGCTACGCTTATAGATAATCTAGGTATGTATGTATATTGTATACATATTTATATGTAATGTCATCTTGAAGATGTTAATTTAAAATATCAAGTATCCATGTTTTTTCTATAATACAAATTATTATGAAATGTTTGTTTCATAGTTAAGGTGGAATCCTTGGATTTTATCAAACAAGAACTATCAGGTCTACATTTGATGACTCGTTCTCATTTCTTACGTTTGTGGAAATCTGAATGTATTACAATAGATGGAATGGATGAACAGTTGATCATGACCATTCAATCACAGAGTCATATTTCATTTTCTAATTTGAATAGAGAATCGACGCAAAGAGCTCAAGAAGAATTTATTTTCAGCATTGCAACAGTAATTTTTTTGTTTAACAATTTACCATATTAGTTGTTGGGTATTAAATTATTATTAAATATAATATCTAAATTAAAAACAATAGTTTCCAATTATTATACAGCAAAAATAACTTGCCAATATTTATTTTATTAAAACTAAGTTTTCGTATATCATAAGTAGAGAACGGATTTTTATGTTTTTATTATTTACTGCAGCTATGAACTATAATACTCTTGTTGTTTAATTTAACAACAAATACACATAAACATTTTATTTCGCATTACAATACATATTTAAACATTTGTTTATATTTTATACATAACTTTGATATCTCAATATTTTTGTTAAATAAAATTGATTCAGTTGTAAAAAAACATTTTTAATTCAAAAAGTATAACCTTTTTTTTGAATAGGTACTTGTTAAAATTTAATTTGTTTTTAAAAATGTTATTACTTTTCAAATTAATGAGTTACTTCAAAAATTTTTATTTTAAAAATCATTAAAAATAAACATCTTGCTTTTGACAAATTATTAGAATAAAATAATCAGTAATATCTAATAGTAATAACTAAGTATAATTTATTAGAATAAAAGTTATTTAATTTGTTAGGTTTTCCTGTTACACCCTATGTATAATATATTATATTAACTATATGTATTTTTGTTGCTACAGTTTATGCCCAAGTTCACATTGCATGAAATGAAAAGTTTCATAGCAAATTACTTAAGTTCAGCAAAACCTTCATGTATTGTTGATGCATCATTTTTCTTATTGGACTGTGTGATGAATTCTGTCATGAGAATTATAGTGTACTTGAAAACTGCTGTACAAAATGAACCTTACGATAATCAATGTGCATGGGCCTATGTGGAAAATACTATCGTCAACTTTCTAGATGCTGTAAATGTAAGTGTTATTTATTTATTTAATGTCTTTAACATCTATAAATATAAAATATAAAAATCGCTATTAGTGGACTATCAACACTTTTATGCACCTTTACTCTTATTATTCAAATTATTCAATCACTCTACAAGTGTACTAAATTTCTAGTAAAGTTATGCATTTAATAAACATTACTTAATTTACTGTGAGGGAGACTAATTTTCAATTATGTATTAGTATAATGTAAAACATTATTTTAATATTCTTACTAAACTAATAAAATATTTTATCTTTAGACATCAAAAATGTGTTGTATTTATGAAGATGAAATCAATGTGCTTTTGACAATAAACAGTGTTAATAAAATTGTAATGGTAATAAAACAGCTTGAAAATATTCGTCAAATGCCTCTATTGGTTGTTGTACGTCGCTTGATTGATTTGATTGTTACACGGATGGAGCCTGCAGAAATTTCAAAAGTTTTATCTCTTTTAGCTTCTATAGGATCACCAAATTCTAAAAAAACATTGAGAACTTCTATTCAACGGCTGATGAATAATCTCATCATCAAAAAACAACGCGTACAAGAAGTACCTCATCAAGGCTGAAATTTCAAATGTACAAGCAAACAATGTTTCATTGTTAGTACTCTTTAAATACAAACATATATTATGAATACAAGAGTAAAACATGTTTTGGTATTTTTATGTTAAATGTTATTATTTAATTATTATTACATACATTTATTGTTTCACAGGTTTATAGTTAATTATTATTATTTTGAATTAATAATTTGTTTTCCTAATTAGATCTCATTGATAAGATAACTAATAAGGGTTGACAATGAGTGAGGTTATATTTAGAATATAATAACAAGAAAAGTTGCAACAATAAAATTAATTACATATTAAGCTGATTATGTTTGAATAATTTAAATGTTTGTGTCTTGTATACTTAGCTACACTTACAATTAAAAAGTATTGGGTTACAATTTGTAATTGATCATCATTTTTTAATATGGATGTAATTATATTAAAGTAACCATTCCATTAAATATTTAAGATTCTACTGTTTAGTTTGTTAATCATTATTTATAATGCATTTTTTTTTTTTTACTAATACTGAAAAGTATATTATATTTTAATGTACTTTGACTGATTATTGTCATTTATACTATTACTTTTTTGATATTATAAGATTGTCATACTTTTACGTTTTTATATATTATTGAATTATTCCACATTTATTTTTTTGTGTAATAAATTGCTTATTTAAAGTTCCTAAGTTTAAATTTAACAATTTTAATATTGTGTACTTTAAATAACTGCTTGAACTATGAAAATAACAGGATAGGAATTGTACGATTTATCAAAAACTGACATCTTTCTTTTGCTTAAATTATGTATACAATTGATGAATTAAGATAATTTTATTTTGTGAAAATATAAGGACAACTTTATTCTCTCGGGTATCCCATCAAATCGTCCATTATTTGTATATTGTCCATATTGATTTTAATCTATACTTAATTTTTGTTTCGTTACTACAATTATTGTATTAAATGTTGCTGGTTGTTTATAGTGGCCATAAAATATAGCAAAATTAACCGAACTAAACATTTATATTTTGTTGACTTAAGATATTCATTACCCTTTTTCTTATGGTCATATTTTCTTTAATTACTATTTTTATTGAGTATCTTAAGATTATAATAATTGTTTTCAGTGTAGTTTCACTTAATTGTTGGGCAATTATCTCAACATGCCCACTGGGAATAATAATCAATTTTTAACTTGTAAAACTGCATTATTGTATGTTAATTTGAAATATGTAAACCAATTGTATGCTGTATAATTGTCAATATTCTTAATTATATTACTTTTTATTATATTGCTTTTAAGAACACATAATATGATTTTACATATACAGTATGAATTTGTATGCTATTTATCAAGATTATCATAATTCATTTTCATCAGAATTTTATATTCAATTATTTTGTATTCATCAAGCAAAAATAGATTAAATTTAACTTGTACTTATTTACAATTTTACGTGTTTTGTGTTTGTTAACAACATACATGTTTTCATTCGACAAAAGTCACAAAAAAATAATAACTAGATTATAATAAGATTTCATTTAAAAAAGTTTATGAATATAATATTTATTATGAATGATGTTTATTTTTCTGTTTGTGTTAGCTCATAAATTCTTTAGTTATTATGGTACATAAGTTGAGTGTAACAATTATGTGAAATGTACTGACAAAGTATTTTGTTAGTTTCAAATGAATTACATGCATCCCTAGTTCTAACATATTAAATAGTCTTATTCGTGTTTTAAAAATATGTTTATGTACCTTTTTTTTAAATGAGATTCTGTATAATATATATAAGTTATTATATCCGGACTATTACAATAAAAACAAAAAGTTGAATGTAAAATAATTTATTTTCTAAATTAATGCACATTTCAAAATTTGTTGACCACACCTCTTGTCTACTATTGAAATAATCAAGTACATATTATTATTTATTGATTACCATATATTTCACTTATTTATTATTTTTTAATTATTACCTCAGTGTTATGATAATATACATAATGTATTATAAATGTATTAAATTGCAATATATTATAGGTAGTTCAAAATAACTAGGAATATTATTTAAATATACTAATTATTATTATAATTCCCCCATCATCGGCCTCATTAAGAGTCAAAGTTCTGGGGTAGAGAAAAATAATCATCTACAAAAAATTTGCATTCGGCTTATTTATTTTGCTCATTATTTTTTGCAGTCCTATATTTAACACTTGATAACTAAATACAGCTAATTTCATATACCATAACAGTATTATCAATATTTAAACACTATTGTTTATTTTTAAGTTTGGTAATTTTGTATACTACTGTGCTTTATATTAAGGACTTAGGCTTCGAATTTTAAATCTATAAGTTAAAATTGTTGTTAAAGGTGCCTAAGCGATCTACAAGTACTTCACTGATGTTCTAAGTGATCTACCATCATTTTTACGGTCCACAATATGTTGTTCTAACCGCTTGCTAACTATATACCGATAAACCCACAAATTGAATCTCATACCCTGCACACTAAATTGTTATGATGTATTACGAAACAAAAATATTCTGTGCATGCCAATGGATCTTCCCTTTAAAGGCAGTTGCAAGAAGAAAGATGGACATATTATATGTTGTCTGGTGGTTTCGTTATAAGGCGCAACTTTCCTGAAACGTTACCTCCGTGGATAACGAGGGATTAATCAAAACGAGGAACTATTAGGAATTTTCTCCATGTGTGTGGTCCGTGCTCAGAATTATTCTCTCGTTAAATAATAATATTGTTTAGGTAAAACGATAACACCACTACACCAGTGATTTAATGATCACCTGACAGTGGGATGGTCTAATGTGGTCGACTACCTATTTACAATTAGCACACATACAAGATGGGAAATTTGGTATGTTGTGGTAACGGATTGACCATGCGGCTTCAGATCTCCATGGACTGCAGCGGTGGAGGTAAAATTATATCTGTATGGTGGTAAACTGTGTTCGGCTGCATTTTACCTCCACAGGCCACAGCTACATCTGCAGTTTAGGGCCTTTAAGGTGCATCTGTGGAAGTAAAACGAGTCCAAACACAATATTTACCGCTACCGCGTCAAACACTGCCAAGACAAAATAATTTTACCTCCACCGCTGCAGTGCGTCGTGTGTGTGTAAACTTAAGCATAAAAAACGGGTCACAGTCGTACCCTTATTGGGCTTATTGTAATATTCTTTTAACGCTTTGAAAAATAGGTATGATTCGTGTAATCATAGGAAAATTTGGCCAATTATTTTCGATTTTGAGCAGAGTAATTATTAATGTACCTAATGATTTTACAATAATATAGATAATTTTTTAGTATGTCATCACATTTTGGAGCAGTAAAAACTATTAGATTTTCTATTTCAATTTCAATATCTATTCTGGTGGAAAAATAAATCTAGTTTGTGCTTTAGGAGATGAAAGTATAAAATTTCAATTACTTTTTTAAATTATAAGGAAAAAATTAAAAAAAAAAATTATGGAAAACTGGAATTTGTTCAGTTTTTGAGAATATCGATTTTATTATTTTGTTGAAGGTATTAAAAAACGATTTACCGTACAGGATACCCACCTCGTTTTCAAAATATTTTGATTCAATTATTTATATAGATGTGAAATCTTAGAAAAATTTTCAATAATATTGTCGATAAAAAGTCATTGTTCTGTCAAAAAGCTCAAAATTGTGGGTAGTACAATAGGTTTCTCATAGACCATTATTAAGGCTATATAAAAATATTAAAGATTCATAAGTACGATCATTTTTATTATAATTAGAAATTCAAATATGACCAAAATCACTAAAATGTTGGAAATTATTTTTCTAGTTAAAAATGTATTAAATTTTCAATCATTATTGTTAAGGTTCGAAATCTCTTGAAAATTTAATATATGGAATTGTTTATAACTGTTTTATTCTAAACTCAAAAAATATATAAGCAACACATTTTTACACATTCCGAGATCGAATTTGGACAAAACTAGATGGGTATTAAAACAATGTATAACTATTTCAATTATTTTATTTTAATTCAAAAATATTTTCCTTGGAGTATGATTTCAAAATAATATTATACTTCATTTTTGTTCTAGCAGAAACAGATACACTAGACAATACACACTTGACGCACTTATATGAGTTATGATTATTTACTACAATATCAATTCGCATACAGTGAGAATCTTGTACCTATCAATAAAAAAAAATCATGGTTTGTAACATTTGCCTATACAAAACCCCTTAAATATGATGTGTTGCCGCGTACTGAAGAAAGAACTATTAAACATGTAATTAGTATAGCCGTATAGTGTTAGGATTTTAATGCAAATTGCATTGTTTTCCCCAAATGTATGTTGTTACTTAGTTAACAACTAAGTTATAAAAAAAGAAACTTTCATAGACAGATGGTGTGAAACAGGATTTACAATTCCGAATTAATTACTAGAAATAATAATAATGTATTGCATAGCGCATAGGCATAGGTAACTGCGTATAGAACTGAATATTTATCCGAAATATTTAGACAATTCTCAAATAATAAAAAAGTACCTACTCTCTACTTTTCAACTTTAACAATAGGCACGCTCTAATGTACAATGTTAATAGGTACTGAATACTAGCAAATAATAAATACTAAGCGTTGTACTTTTTAAACCGTTCCGTTATAAAAAATATTTCTGATTACCTAGTGATTAGTGATTTCAAAATATTCATATAAATATCTACTTTTTTTAATGTTTTATCATAAAAGAAACTATATAGATTATAGAATAACAATTAAAATAATACATCGTATTAGTTATTACCAATATATCGATATCGTTGGGTACAAACACTACAAACATGGCTAATGGCTATAGCCTATAGTTGTAGTCATTTTTATCTTACTAATTATAAATACTTATGTCTCTGTGTTATATATTTATAAACAAATACCTATGTTGATGAACCAACCAAAATAGATTGTGCTCTAATTGTCATACGTCTAATTATAATTTCTCTACGTGGACGTGAATTGCAATTTTTAACATGTTTTCTTTATTAATTTTCTGTAATTCTATATATTATATTTTATGTGGAGGTGTGGTAAACTTTAAAACATTCGATGGTTAGATTAATAATTGGTACCTATTATAGTTTATATGTACATAATTTAATATTTTTGATTAGATATTTCTTATATTATGTTATAAATTGTAAAATTATTAACCAATGACTCAAAGTTGGCAAATGGTGGTTGCACGTGAAAGTGTAAAACAATTTTTTGTTGAATAAATTTTTAAATTCTGAAATTTTATTTACTTATGAATGTTTACATCTATGCTCAAAGCTTAAGGGAAAAACGTTAATTTATTTTATAAATATACTATTAAAAAAAATGTAAACATAGGTACCTACTTACTGTATTGATAAAAAATTAGTTATTAAAATAAATAGGTAGCAATGTTATGTGACATGAATTATATTTAATCTACTCTTATTTCAATTTAATGAACTTGAAGTAGTTAATATTGAAAAGTATGAACTAGAATTTGAACTAGTTCATATTTAATGTTTGGAACTTGAACTGAAATACTTCAATTGTAAAAAGAACTTTCTCGTCATTGTCGATAAGTGTTAATTCATAATTACCAGTTTGTTATTTTACACTATTTTCATCATTGGTCCATTTGCTTCATAAACGAAGTTTTGGTCCATAAGGGAATTTCCGGGATGTTCTAATATTCAAATATGGGCCGATTAACATGCGCAATGTATTTATGTATAGCTTATAGTGACCACGACTTGAGATTCCTAATATACGTCCGTATATTATTGGTGGATAGTTGGAAGTATCTTGGACCCGTATACGGCGTATGCCTATCAATTAACAATTTTACTAAATTAGCGCGTATAGTATACCCTATAAACTTTGTAAAAATGATTGTAATGATACGCGGGTATACGCTGTAACTACTAATTCAAAGTAATTAAAAACACATGTGAAAAAAAATTAATTTTCTATGCCCATCAAAAATAGATGCTAATAATATGTAAATTCATAATCAGGTCTATTTCAGTTATTTTACGGTTCAATTACTTATTGATATTTAAATTTGTAATTTTTATTAATATGTTGTTATGGCAAATAAAAATAAGAAAAAAATGTAAAAATGCAAGCAAAGCGATATAATTTGTTTTTGCTTTCAAATGTTAAATTGTAGGTACTAAAAGTGTTCATATTATAATTAATACCTGTGGAGTATTCAGTATTGTAAAGCATACGTACCTGGATATAAATTGCAAAAACATCATTGAGGATAGAATAATGCACTGCTCAAAATAATATTTTGCTTCGCTGGCATGAACGGAAAAAATCTCATTTTTCATAAGAATGAGATACAAATATATTTTTACTAAATGTGTACTAAATGAAAAAAATTACATTCAAATATTTATATAATGTAAGGTATAAGTGTTATTGATTTATATCGTTGAATTATTAGATGCGAGTTAATTCCGCTCGTATACGTTATTTTTTCATTAGATAGGTTTTAATGTTCTATGTAAGATCGAGTATTTTTTTTTTATAAAGCTTTTAGGTATTTTTATTATTATTTTTATTTTCTTATATTATGTTTTTGTTTGTTGACTCATTGTATCGTTTAACAGTTTTTGATTTTGATTTATTAGGCAATAGTCTAAATAAGTATATTTTCATAAAAAAAAATATTAACACCTGATATTATAAAATATGATATTGGTTTAGAAATAAATTATCATAATTACAAAATTGTTTTCCCAAATATTGGACCAAATTTTACTTAGCCACATACCTATAGACAATGTCAACTAAATCCCCCACCCCCACAAGTTAAAATCCTTTACCGAAAAAGGCGATCATCCTAGCTAAAAAATTGCTTTAACAAGTCTCCTTTAATTACAATTTACAAGTTACAATGATTAAAATAATATATTCATGATGGATTTTGGTTTGTTTACCTAATACCCGTTCAAAAATGTAATTATTTATTACTACCTATATAGGTATAGTCGATTTTAATTTATGTAAATATTTTAAGAGTAGAATTACTTATTTAAATGCGTATGTAAATTTGTCAGTCTCTGCTGGTGGGTTAGACACCTTACTTACAGCAGACAGGAAGGAACTATACTCTAAATCAGGGGTGGCCAAACCGCGGTTAGCGTCAGTCGTTCGGCTCGTAAGACGTATACAATTTTTACCAGTATAGTAATAGGTATTATATATTTATACACGAATAATTCGATAATTATTATCCCATACAAAATGTAATCGGAAATTAATGTACCTACACTATTATAGTGTTTCGCATTCTACAATTTCACTACATTTAACATTATCTAATCTTGTTATTTACGATAATAATTGAGAACCTTTTTACCGGCACTTACAATATGTTATCCACATAGATGTATACAAAACTAACAATCTATGATCACAAGTCACAATAATTGTAGTATAAAGACGGCAGCGGCTATGTAGCTGTTGTTTATATCTATAGTTATTCATTAATCATTATATTGCGCGGCTCATGTCTCTTATCGCTGGCAACCTCTGCTCCATAGTCATTAGCCACTCTATATAATATAAGTACAATATATTAATATCCGACATCCGCTCATAGTCTCTTTTACAGCCAAGTAAAAATTAACAACTTGAACAAATAGAATAACTTGTCGAACACAATTCCTAACCAAATTACCCATTTGAAATAAACATATAATTTTTGGTCGTCGTACGAAATGCAAGGATATAGGGAAAATAACTAAATTTAATAAAAATGTTTCCGTATAGTCATGCCAAACTCCAAAGCTGTTTATAAACACTAATATGTTATTGGTTTTCTTTGAGACGTTCAATGACATTGTATCCTCAAAAAATTGGGCTATTTATATATTATGTTTAACTAGGTACCCGAATAGACTTTAGTAGTATAATATAATAATATTATAAATATGCTATAATAGTCATGACTGGAATCCAACGCATGCAATATTACCTAGTTAGTAAACCAAAGGCATTGGCATACTAATAAACAATATTTCAAAATTAATTATCGATCATCAGCATCAGTAGTTATCAATATAGACTTATGTAATGAAAATTGATTAGCAAACAAATTAATTGTATAAACTATAATTAAATATTGTAAGCGGCAGTGTAAATATATCATGATATACGTTTATGAGATGGAGACAACATAAAATGTGATCGGTACTAACCTATAGGATTATTACAACAAATAATAGTAATAATGATAAACTTTTTCCAGTTTTGAAATGCTAAGATAAATACGCTGTATACCTTTTTTTTTCGATTTTAATCAACGACGCCGCGGGAACTGCTTTCGCATTGCTTCCGCGAATACGCGGTATACCTATCTAAATGTATAAGTACCTTACACATCATGTGCATATTTAGGTAAGTGATAAACGTATTAATTAATTAGTTCTGATTTACATACTTGGTACACGGTACACTGTAGCATGCATAGCCGCGTAGGTGACCTTATATAAAATAATGGTGGACCTAAACAATAACTGTGAAACCACATTGTTTAATTTTGGGTTAATATTTGAGCATTGAATTACATTGAACAGGGGACTTCGTCTTCGAAAGACTACATCCTACATTCTCATACCCGTTCTTAAAAAATAAGCCCATTAAGAGTTAAGACTAGGTACTTTATATTGAGTTGTAATTTAAATAAATTAGAAGCAGAATTTAACAACTGAGTATCAACTTATAAATTGATGGCACTTTTAAGTTTAGAAAGAGAGGTGGGTAATCATTAAGCTATAGAAACAATATATTTGGGAATGATGGGTTAAAAATTTGTTAAAGATATCATATGAACTAAAATTATATGGATATAATTTTTTATTTGAAATTGAAACAACTGCGTTTTATTTAAATTAATGAAAAAAATAAAAATAAAAATGATAGACAATTTTATTAACGAATTAACAAAATATGAACTAATATTGATAATGAACATAAAAATAATTTACATCAAGATTGAGAAACAATGTTTATCTATCTTGGTAATATTATATCAGTCCTATTAAAGTAGGCAGGTACTGGATACAGTCATGTACAATGTATTAAATTATACAATAGTATAGGTATAACTGTGTATACAAAGTTAAATTTTAAGGTTTTACTCTAAGTTATAGATTAAATTTAAATAATGCAATTCATAAATATGAACAAAATACATTTTAATAGCAATCATACAAAAAGTATTGTCAAGTAAAATCAATGCAATTAATTATATTTAACAATACTATTAGTTCCATAACCCACACATATGCAGGAGAGCACAGGTTTATGTAAAATATGAATTTAATAAGTATTAAACTTATTAATTTGAATTACATTATTTATTACTGGTAGTAGAGAATTAATAGTAGTTAATAACCAACTATTGATTATAAATGATTTTTGAATACACATGTAGTAAAATTTAAATTGAGTATATCTGAAAATAAATGCATTTTAAATAAAAAATAATTAAATTCTAAATAAATTTTTAAAACTGATTTGCTTGATGAAACATTGATTTTTCATAAAGGAATACAGAATTTTTTGGATAGAATCACCACTATACACATTACAGATTAGAAATCCATAGAATTTCAGTACATGTACTATGAGCACAGTAAAAAGTTCAATTAAAATAAACTTTCAAAATATTGCTTGAACTTTATACATTTAAAAAACAAATTTATGAATGTCTACCACTTTACATCAAATATATTTTTAATATTTAAGAATACAATATCTAAGGTACCTTTCCTTAGGTTCCACATCAGTATTAAATTGGTAAAACAATAATATAGAAAGAGGTAAAAATATATAGATTTTAAAATAAGACATTAACACTCACATTTTCAAGATCACAACAAAAAATGTTTTATAAATAATATTTCAAACAAAAAGTACAAACACATCCATATTAAATAAAATTTAAACTTTTTGTACAGAAAAAAAAACACTGAATATTATGATAATTTATTTAATAATTTAAAAAGAAAAACACTTCTAATATAAGATACTTCACTAATAATTCCTAAATAAAATTGAAATTGTTGCTTACTTATACAATTTGAATTATTTACACGTCTTGTATGATAAATTATAAAATGATTGCTCAAATAATTAAAATAAATTAATCAGCAGTACATTTTGAGTTGTTTATTTTTAATATTAATGATTAACTTTTTAGCAATTTATCAATATTTATCAATAAAATTACCACCGTGTAATTTGCAAATTATGAAAACTGACAACAGTATTCATTTTACAATTCGAAATGTCATTAAATGAAGAATTAAGTTTTTCATTAAATAAAAAAATAAACAATGACAACATTATACATACAAACCAAAAATATGCTTAAAATATAAGTACCAAAATTATTTTATTCTTTTTTTTTAGTTATATAAATACAATTTAAATTTTTTTAATACTATAAATTATAAGTAATTTTTCAACATAAATTTTGTATAAATTCTACATAAAAAAAAATGATGAGTTTTCGTGATGGCCTTTTGGCAAAGTACAATTAACATATATATTTCCAAATATTTACTACAATTCTTATTTATAAAAATTGTATATAATGTAAAGGAAAGAAACAAAGTAAGAATATGTTAACTACTGAGCACGGTTATAATATATTATCAGTAGAAAGTCAATGTAAGTCTAAATGTTCTTCATTATAAAACCTGTAAGAAAATCACAAAATTATTAATAACATATCTAAAAAAAAAACTATCAATAAATAATCAACAAATCAATTCATATGATTTTATAATATTTGAATTCATCACAATAACTGCAAACAAAAACAACATTTCACCTATCTTATTTCAGTAATTTTATGTTATATCTAGGTTTAGTAGGAAGGAACTATGAACTATGTTAACTAAGAAGGAAAAATTGTTTTATTTTTAACTTTTTAACTACAGTACTTTAAGATATTTTTAGTTAATTTTAACTTTTCTTAACGAATACTTATAAAAACAAATAGACAGAAAAGAAAGTAAAAAACTAAAACAGAAGTGGTTTAAGATTTGCATTTACATGAACTATTACTTTTATTAACAAATGATATCTTGTTGATTAAAAAGATATAAATATGATTCATTGTTATAATACATTTTTTTTTTAAATGATGAAGACAAGTACTTACCTATACTCTGTTCAAGTTATGAAACACTGTTGGCGACAGTCATCTATCTATAAGCCTGCCGTAGAGTATATGCCCCTACATATAAGTCGACTGCTGACTGTGTTTCTTAACTTGCATAGAGTATAGTATGTTTATGTATAATTAAGAAGTCAAATCAAAATAAATGTTCATAATTAATATTAGAAAAACATGTTCAATTAAACTCTAATCAATAGGGAAAAATTTGATAGATACTCTGTATAACTGTTGATTTTGTATTTAACAGATTAGTAATGGCAAAGGACAAAATTAGGTATTTCGTTATTGAAATTTCATTTTTGCAGGTTATGTCCCCGACATTGTTGTATCAAATTACTTTAATTGAAATTACAATTAACAGTCTATAGCGTGGTCATTGGTGTAGTTTCCAGTAATGTATCATTTCCATATTGTTATTGAAAATGTAATGTTTTATTAAATTAATGACAATGGTCTCTAGGCATAATTTAAAAATATAGGTATACTATGATAACTAGTCTGGATTTGTATGCAAAAATATATTTTTAACAAACCCATACTGTTTGGTGAGAGTAAGATTTGTTTGCGTTTCATAATCTGTAAGAAAATCAATAAAGTTTTGTTGCATATTTTGACCTTAGAGAATATTTCAAAATAATTTAACATATTTCCACTATATTGTTTTATATTAGATATATTTTTGAGTTTTTAGTTTGATTTTAATTTTCAGGCATCAATTCCCTAATTTCCTGTGATAAATAAATTTTTATTCTCCATAATTCATGAACAAATATAATAGTTATATACTGGTATTCCCCCGACACGCCAATATTAAAAATAAAAATAACTGAATAAAATAACCTAAGCTACATTACGTTGCAACGTATCTATTATTTTTACAATTATGTACATATTATGAAGATAATACAGCAGTATGGCCACAGGCCTGAACATTTCTTCTACAACATATATAGATGTTGAGATAATGTTCAGCATATTCGAGACAATAATCATGGATCAATGTAACTTTACCCCGGAAAATTTGACGCAACATATTATTGAACATTCCTTTAAAAACATTGTATAATATTAATTATTATTCTGATGTTTATGTATTGCCTATATAATTTAACAATAAAATAAATAATAAAGTATTTAAGATATTAAATTTATGATTAAAGTAATTGAGAATATATTACCAATTTTTGTTGCATATAAACATCATATTTCAAATGTTTTAACATAATATAAATCCGGACTCTAATAACTTACAACAAATAATAGTATAGAATGTCGCAATGTCTTGAAATTTAATTTTGTTTAGAAAAACTAGTATATAATTTAAGAATTGAAAACAAAACATATATATATATATATATATATATGGTAGCGATTAACTAATTTTTTAACTTTATTTTTGAATTTGTACATCTCTACTTGATTGCCTTTTGACAACATACAACTTAGAAAACGATTGAAAAGTTACAAATTACAGGTGTGTTAAATTTAAAAATTAAATAACTAACATTTTCACTAAACCAATTTTAACATGAAGACTACAATAGGCCATTGTTGTAATACTGATATAACCTGCATTTAGGTATCTTTGTACAGAATGTATATGATAGCGGCAAAATCAGCTGATAATAGGTATGACCTAGTCAACACTATTTACTACGGCATTGCTTATCTGCCTAATATAAATTCAATGATATTACTTTTTTTTGCGAGATAGTAATATATTATATCCTTTCATATATGTACAGTAACAAAAAATAAATATTAATTAAATACAAGATTAAATATGTCTAGTCAGAGAATCATAATAAGTGTTTAAATGATACTTACGAATAATGGCAAAAATTAGGACACAACTGTTGATAACTGGTCCACTTTTGGTGCATTGTCATCAGCTGATGCATTAATATTATTATCGACAACATTGTCAGCAGCTTTATCTAGCTCCTTTTCAACTTGTCCAATAACCGGTGCATCATTGTTGGTGGTGATGGCAGTGGTAGCAGTTACAGCTTTAAAATCTGTTTCAACGTGGAGAACTTTGATAGGTTCTATTGCCTCTATTACCGCGATTGATTCATCACCATTTGTAGACTTGACTTGTTCTTCAGTATCACCATTTGGGGTGACAACATCTTTAGTTGCTACACAGAATCCAATATCATTATTCACAATTTCTTCCACTGATTCAATTTTTTCTTTTTCATCACTTTTTCCATTGGTATTTTCCAATACTACTGGTTCTTGTTTAGGCTCATCTTTAACTACATCATTCACAGACGGTTCGGTTATTTCAGAATCTTTAACTTTAATCAGTTCTTCTGTAATTTCAGATTTTTCATCTTTAGCTTCAACTGGCTTAGTATCCTTTTCTTTTTCATCATTAGCGACTGGAAGTTTTTCAACATCCTCTTGATCCTTGGAATCTTCAAGCGGTACTTCAGTCTTTTCCTCAACTGTTGGTAAATCTTTTTTCTCTACATCAAGGGGAGGTGACACATTGGTTTCTTCAACATTGTCAACATCCATTGGTGAAATACCAGAGATATCATTTTCATCTACCTTATCAACATTGTTAGTATTTTTGTCTGGGTTGTCAATCTCATCAGACGATGTCTTATCCTCAGTTTTAGTTTTTTTAGCTTCAGGCAATTCAATTGTTTCTTCAGTTGTCTTACGTTTTGATCGTTTAGGTTTTTCAGAACTCTTCACTGTCTTTTTAACAATAATTTCAGGTTTCGGTGTAGTCACTATGCCTCTAGCAGCCAACCTTGAGCTCCTTCTTCGGCCATTATTACCTTCTTGATCCATTTTGTATGGTACCTACAAAAAATATATAAACAATTAAACAAAAGTAGGTAGGTAACCATAAAGTAACAAATTAATTTTCAACAGTTAAGTACCCAAATTAAACTATACAAGTGAATAGGTACTTTACAAAAGCTAGGTATATAAATTAAAAAATTCATTGTGTTTATTATGTATTTAATTCTACAATTTGCCTATATGATTTTTAGACTAATAATTGTTGATATTATTTTTATTGTTAGCCAATTATATCCATTGATAATTCAATAATACAATATCAATATTTAAGTAGCATAATTAATATAGGTGCCAACTGACATAATTATGTCTTCGGAAAAAGCACTTAATGAAATTACAATGAAGAAGTAAACAATTAAAAATACATTGTAGGCCAACTGCTGCTTGGCACTATTTTTAGGTAAAATGAAAAATAATAAATATGGTACCTGTCTACCCTATAAAAACTATTGTTGAAGTTTATTTATTATGAATGTAATATTGATAAATACCAATTTTATATTTCCATGTCTTATTTTAATAGCAAAATCATAAAGCCAACTGAATAGATATCAGAAGATACATATATTTAGGCGGATAGCATACTAACACAAAAAATATGTGGTACCTAAATAAGTATTTAACGAGTAACAAATACAATTATCAGATGAAAATTAAATTTGTGCAAAGGTGGTTTACTATACTTTTTTGCATCTTTAGGTAAATATAAATTATTGTTCATGAGAATATTAAATAGTTAAAAAAGATATATACCGTAGATTTTCTGCGGTACCTATTACAACAAGGGTAAAGCAACACATTTTTTATAAAAATATGTTCTTAAAACTTAACTTGACAGATGCAATTTACGTTGAAACATAGCAGTACGTAGCTCAATTTCAATAACGTAAAAAATTAAAGGTCCTGGGATATTTGTATAAGTAGATACATCCTTAGAGATTGCATCTTAGAGATCTCAAACCAGAAAGTTATTCAAAAAATTCAAAGATGAAAATAATTTGGAGGAAGAAATAATCAAAATCACGGAGAACTATATAACAATAGATTTTAGATGCGTGTTACAAGAATTTAGGGAGACATCGTTTCAGAGGAGAAAAAAAGAAAAGCGCAATACCTTACTACCAATTACCTATATTAATTAGTACAAAGTTATACCTACAATTTACTCCAATCAACGGTTATCATACTCTAATTTAAAGTAACATTGAATTGTTCTTCAGACAGTTCATCATTTGGTACATTTTCTAAAACTTACTGAAATAATAAAAATGAGATACGTAAAAACCTAGAAACATAATAAGACTTCTTAACTTGTATAGACATCTGGATTATCAATTTCACTCATTTATTAGGTGTTTTGGTTCCAATTTAATATTATTGCATATAAAATAATTTGTAAAAAAACAATTTAACTAACATTTTTGATTTAAATTTAAGAGGACGTTATACGCACATGTGTTATCCCCTTCTTAGGCCTGTTTCTCATGGATGCACATCATATGCGCACGTCTTTAGTCTAGATTGGTTAAATTCATATGCGTCACTCTGACGGTGGCATGTTTCCCTTTCTGGTATGTAGTGTATGAACTTAATCAATGTAAACTAAAAATGCCCACGTACGATATGTAGCGTATGATATGCGTCCATGTTAAATGGGCCTTACAAGTGCGTAACATATCAAATTTTACTCTCAGCAGCCGTTTTAATAAATTTGGTGCCTAGGTAACATACCTATCTATTTATAATTTTTTTTTATAAAAGTATTATACAGGTACAGTATAGTGTAATTAAATTAAATCTAACCCTATTTTTTTTCTTTTGTGGTCTGGCATACACACTCTTAGCTACCTATTTAAAATACTAAAAGCAATCCACTTTCTAAAATCTATTAAAATTAAGTAGCTATGACATTTGATAAGTAATACATATTGAGAATATGCATAGAATACATGCATAGAAGGTGCAAATACCTAGCTAAGTATAAAATAAGCTACCTAAAATGTATAAATTAATAAAAAAAAACATTTAACTTAAAAGATAATTATATTGTATTTTATTTCTGGCAAACTCAAGACATTTTCAGAAATAAAAAATAACATCTTACAAAACAAACAAACAGGTAGATAGGTAAGTGGACAGGTACACAATTTGTTTTATAAATAATTTAACTAAAGAAAAACTGAAATAAAAACCAGTTGGTACGAATACAAACCAGTGTTCTAACACTCCAAAAGTACCAATCTACCTATATTCCGTCCCACGAGAGAATATTCACTTTTCACTCATTACAAATGATTCGATCAGTGCGTCAAGAACCAAATGATCACAAGTAACACCAGGAAGTTAGTGGGAGATGCACAGCACTGACGAGAATCATTCAGCGGACTGAATATTCTCTTGTGGGAGTGACTGGATAGGAGTTAGTACAAGAATAATGCATTTTCATTCAACACAAGAAATATGCCTGCAAACGCCTCCTAATTCCTATCTACTATATACTTATGCAAATGAAACGGTAGATAGTGAAATAATAACCAAGCGATAAAACAATCAATTTTTCATTAACTGACCATAAGGTGCCCCTTAGCATAAATTCACAAGTTTGTGATAAACATTTATGAAAAATAGTTGTTATTTTCTAGTATTTTAACAGTAACTGGTGTCAGTGTCAATGGGCATGTGCGTGGGCAATCGGTCGAACAGAACAGACCTGAGCAGAACCACTTTTCAAAAACCACTCGTCTCACCACAACCCCTCAACATACATGAGTCGTAGGAGTACGAACGCGCGAGTAAACACCTTTACCCCCTACCCCCGCACACCACCAAACAACAACAACAACAACAATAACAATAACAACTTAACAAATACAAAACGAAGCTTCGGGCCACCACCTGCTGAGCAGCGAGAAAGGACACAATCATTGTAACGGACGCCGCGACCGCCAAATCGATTTTCGATTGGACGACGCGCGCGGACGGTTCGTCGAGACGCCGTTTGTACAACTACCGTGGCGGCGGCGGCGGCGTCACCCCCCGCACCGTCCGTTTGTAAACGCACAAAGACCGTACACCCAAAGAATGTGTACGGCCAGAAGTAATACAGATATAATCATAAAAATAAACTATACTTACGCGGTAAGTCAGCGGAAGATATTATACGAAGTCTTGATGCACGCAAGAACAAATGCAACTCGTCGTCGGCGGGACTGTTTCTTGTCCGCGGTTGACCGTTTCGGCGGTAATCGCGTCCGCGATAGCTGTGACAACGCTGCTGCTTCGGTTACTTCCTACTACTACACTGCCGCACAGTGTGAGGAGGGGGGAAGGACGACGACGGCGACGATTTGGTCGCGTACAACACGTGCGATACGGATGATGTTGCGAGCCGGGGCGAATAGCAAGCGGCGGCGGCGGCAGTGGCGTCGGCGGCAACGACGGACGAAAGAATATTGAACGACGATGACGGGACAGCAAAACGAATGCAATTACGATGGACGCTCGGCGAAAAGACGCGTATGGTCGACTAGTGGTTAAACACAAAACGGAGTACGGACTGCCGCTACAACTACCGAATGCCGCTTATTCGAAGAGCTGCTTGGGATTGATAGTAAAACAACACTGAACGAAACTCACACGGCTCGAGCATTCACACACACGCGCGCAAACGTACACACACACGTACACACACGCACGCACAAACAAGAATGCGTGCGCACGCGCAGAGAAGCGGCCGCGCACGCGTACGCACATATTCGAGCGGGCTCACGCACATACGCGAGAGCGGGCACACGCACGCGCAACCGTTAAACGCGGCTCCTGCACGCACGTACGCACGCACACGCACCCGCTGTCCGTACCAGTAGGTGTTCAGGCGGGGTGAGGTGGAGGGATGTACACGCACACGCATCAAACGGTTCTCCGACTCGACGGCGGCGGCGGTTTTCGTTTTTTTGTTTAAAGGTTTCAGCAACGCCGCCGCCGCCTTCGCGTCCGTTTGGCGTCGGCTGAACAGGCCGGCCGGCCGGCCGGCTGCCGGCTGATTCAGTGTGTCCAACTTTCACGCAGAAACTTTTCCTCTACCTTATCTAGTCTCTAGCCGCGTCTTTTTTCTCTAGTGTAGACTTTGGAATTAAACAACAACCGATTAAACATGCATTGTACATATTGTATACATATTATTATGTTGTACTAACTCGATTATGTTATCACGTACGTTGATGCTTTCCAATTTACGTATAATATGCTTGTGAATTATTGTTTATTTAATATTTTCATTTTAAACCTTGCACCGTTATGTAAACAAAATATATTGTATCCGTTGTACTCGTGTCGTTTAATAATAATGTTATTATGACGTGTTGGCTATTAATTGTAGGTATTTGTACAATACGATTTATAGTAGGTACCCACCGGTAGGCTATCTAACTCCGGGAGTCGTATCGTCGGTAGTAGGCATAGACATAAATACATAATAATAATAATACTATGTCAATGGTAGTAGGTATCTGCCTATTGATATGATAATAATTTTTTTATACCGAACGGCCACTGTAACTTCATCAACTGCAGCCAAGTCAGGGCGTGTAATAACAGGACGATTCGAGACGATCGTTGCAAAGTCGCTCGCGTCCTCATTCGTTGTTTATTATCACGTCCTCGGTACCTAACTACGAGTTGCTGAAATGTCCAAACGAACTAATACGTGTGGAAGCAGTGTTCGAAATTATCTTTTATTTATTTATTTTTCGTATTTCGAGACCTAACCTTATTTTTATTTTTTGTAATTATTATTTTATTTTTATAATTTATAATGATTATAATATTCACTGTAACATTGGTCTGTTATTTTGCAGTAGAACTCCTTACATTATCTTTCTGATTTGAGAATTTCGTACATGATTTGCCTAATACAAGTAAAGTTCAGTTGCATTGTCGCCAAACGAACGACTCTTTTCATTTAATTCCATAGCCGTTGAGTGATTACTTTATTAAACATTAACTGGTGTCGAACGAGGAATATTTTTCCTTTTCAGATCTACTTACCTTCATAGCTGTCCACCTTTGTTCGCCGTTCGTATAATCGTACTTACGCACAACAAAATAATATCATACCTACCGTAATCTAAATATCTCTCGATTTATTGTTTTCTTAATTCGATATCGGTATTTTTTTGTGTTACACCGTGTTTAATGCTTAGGAATGTAATACATATTAGGTATTCATATATATTTTATTTTGTTCATGTTATACGTCTCTAATGAAATTTGAATGTAATGGATTTTTTATTTTTCACAGTTCGCAACTAAATTAGGCAATAATTAATACAGTAAATCGCTTATATTTTGGTTACAAAAATTACGTAGAAGGTAGAAGATTATTTTCTACAAGATGCATAGGTAACAAAGAAAAAAAATGGCTAAAAATGACATATCCCATTTACATTGAACCACTCAATTGAATAATGACAGAAATTTTATAAGTAACTCGTGTAATTTAAGACCTATTGTTCCTATTGATGGGGTATTAACTATTAGTATATTTGAATATATTATTAGGTACGATTTTTTTTGTAGGAGGTGAAATAATGAGAATGGGTCAATTTTGAATAAACTGTATGCGTATAAGTTATAAATATTTTAATAGTTACAATTCAAAGCACTAAGCCACTAATATATTGTATTTTCGTACTTTTCTTGTACCTATTCAATTTTACATATTGTACACTTGTATTGTACTAGTATTATTGTACTTACACAGAAAAAAATCAATGAAGGTCCTAAAAAATATTTTTTTAATCGACTTTGTAGGTATATTGTTCATGTATTATGTACCCAGTAAGAAATAATTATTTTGTGATATATTGTCCTACTTAAGGAGTTCAATATAGGCAACTTCTATGTAATTTAAGAAAAATTAAAATATATACTTAATGGTTTAGATTTTTATAAAGCACATGTAAGTTAAATATATATATAATATATTCATTATATTATATAGTATATAGCCATATATTATAAGTATACTAAAAATTCTATTGATTACATTATACTATGGTTTTTGTTTTAGTACATTTTTGGATTCGATTGTATAAAACGGACTTAAGTAATTAAAATACACATAATATATAAGTGAAAATAACGGGAATAAAACCAAAAAACTTGAAATATTTCCAATAAAATGTTAGCCGGTGAGCAACGAAGTCGGTATTAGCGGGGACTGGGGAGGGTTAGCAACTTTCTAAATTCCTAACAAAAATATATATATATTACTAGTCTCCCTAGTACAATATATTAACATAATAATGTTTATATTATTACACTTGACTCTAAAGTCTAAATACGATTATCCTCATAAATTATAATAAATAATGTTACCAATAAATTCTATCGATTTTAAAATAGATATATCAAGTTAACAAACAACAGACTTATATGGTTAAGTTGTACCAATAATTTAATAATATTAAAACTGAGTTATCCTGTGGTTCTGAGTCAAAATAAAATAAATTTGTTGTACTACTGATTGCTTTTTCCAAAGTAGAATATGTTTAAGATTATTTCAACGTACGAATTTCTATCAAATTAAATTACTTTAAACTTGATTCTTTCAACAGGTACCTACTTATAAGTTATAATTGTTTAACTAATTAACTGCTCGTTTAATATTCAATTTTTATAATTTAAAATTCTATAATAAATATTGATATTTTACTACAGAATACTGAATAATAAATTAAAAATAAATTTGTGCAATAATTTAATTAGTTTTACTATATTATATTGAAAAAACTGGTAAGATTTCACCCAAAATACAAACTAGATCCAATTTTTATCTTGCTTATTTGCTAGAGTAACGTAATTTGTAGCCTACAAAAAGTGTCTTCGAGGACATACAACTTCCATAAACACCCGCAATAATTGTTAAACTATTATATTCATCGTTCCTCTTTCAGAATCGTGTATAGGAGGTACCTACTGAAAATAAAACAATTAACTATTTTCTCTACGTGAAAAATTGATATTTTACATCAATATTTACCAACTGTATTACTATAATTATATATTAATTAATAATATATAATATTTAGTTAAAAATGCAGGTGTTTTCCTTTTTTTCAGGTGTTCAAAAACATCCGACTTTACTTCAACAATAAGACTCTTTGAAATACCTATCATTTCGTATAAATAAATATATTATTGCCATTATTTATTATTTAATATTCCTTCTTTTCCTGTTCTGCAACTTAAAAAATTTCCACTACACCCCATCCTACTATATCAAACATTGTTGTATTATTTTAATTTAGTCTTAGATTTAATTTTGTTTTTTATCCAACTGCAGACTATTTACAGCTTAATAATATTATTTAACTTATCTCAATTCAATGTAATATGTTCTTATTTATTGTTAAGTCGTAATTTATAAATAATATTTAAATGCTAATAAAATAGCTAATTATTAGTAAATTACATAAGATGCATTAATTCAAACTTCGGGACATTTCGACAAAAATAATCATATATGTCAGTAGAATATATTAACTATAGATAATAGATACCTTTTTAAAATGTACAGAAAATATAAAAATAATTATTGACTTAAACAGTTTATTTACACAATAAGATACCGCTATGGAGTGGAGCTCTGTATGGTCTAGTCTTGGTCAGTCTTTATTATTTAATAAATAATACATGGTTCAGTCTTCATGGATCTTTTAATTTTCGAAATCAAATCAGTTCAGATACGGTCCCATCTAAAATTAGTCGTCCGGTTAGATAATCAGGCATCTATATCAAAATAACAGGATCGGTTTAATTAAAATTTTGGACATCGTGTTTATTAATGTTGAGTATTTTTATTTTTTAGCAAAGGAACATTAGGAATTATTTTTTTTTTTCTCGTAATGACGGCTCCTACGTTATTGACTGTTATTAATACATTATAGTAATATTGTTATTTTAATTATTATTATTAAACATTTAAACTTCTACATACCGTACAGTACAACCATAATATATTTTGTGTACATTAATGTTAAAATTACTCGCTACGGCTATTGACTATACATTTATACACTACGATTTATATTCATTATTTTTGGTTTTACACCGTGTCCTGCGTGAATCCGATAAATGCGATGAGAATAAAACAGTATTTTGTCGCATCGGACGCATCGTATTGCGACGGAACAGCATGGTTACAATAGAAACCTGCACACACGCACTCATCGCACTCACCGCATTTACGTAGGCCATTGTCGTCGCTCGTAAATCGTAAAAGCCGTAATTTTATAAATATGTGGTCATAAACATAACAATATAGAATCTAGTACTCTACTCCCTATATTTTATTTTAAATAGGTATAGTGGCAATGGTAAACAAAATAATACGCTACTGATAGAACAATTATTTTGCATTTCATTGTTAATAATTTTCAATAATTTTTTCCTTGCTTGTAGTGAACTGTGAAGTAATACAAAAACCAAGTATTCACTATCTACCGACAGATTTGAATAGAGCCCTAAATTGTATTAAATAAAATCGGATCTATCGTTTTAAAACAGCTTGGTTAGGAACGTCATTCGGTGTAATGTGCATACGAATTGCATCCAGTCCTTTGAATATGAATAACAGTCTTGAAAT